AAGCTTTTCAATGAGCCAAGCTTGTTGTTACCCAATGTTTAATATTTATATTTATGCACCTCTATATCTTATGGGTTCCAAAATGGTTCATAAGTTTATTTATGTTTAACTAATACATTTGAATTTAAATATTGACGAGCAGTAAGTGCATGTGATATCCACCTATTTCTTCTTCTTTTGTTTTGCCATCTTTTTGGCCATAAACTTGCGTCTTAATTTTAAAAATTTGTTTGACTTTCCAAACCATTTGTCAAACTTGTCCATTAGCTAAGAATAATAAGTTATATTACCAATTTCTGGGTAAAAGAAACTTTGAGGTTTTACCTTTTGATCCGGAGGAAAGGTTGGCTCATCATTTTTGCTCAAGAAATATTCCAAAAATTCGTTGGGGTCCATCGGTTCATTTTTAAGCCTCATTCTTCGTGAAACATCTAATGTCTGACTTATGTTCTTTGCGATATCACCAGAGTTATATGCTTGCAGGACTCTCGCCAGTGCAGAATATGCATGCTCCTCCATGTCCTCTACGTTTTCTGTCATTAGTTCCAGCCAAAGCAGGAAGCTGGTGCCATAGTCGCACTTCGGTATAAGCAAGACTTTTTGGAATGCTTTCTTGAATTTTCCCTTCGCAGACCATGGCATGTTGCTGGTCCCCAATAGAACAACCTTGTCAGATTTTTTGATATTTTTCAAAATGGCTTTCGATATGGAAGGACCGAGGAGCGTTGGATTAATTTCCTTGAGCTCAGGCGGAATCTTTTTCAAGAATAAACGATGTGCTTCTTCGACATATAATATGGCTGGCTGAAAGGCCTTTGCTACTTTCATAACAACATGTAGGAAATACTTCATGTTATCAGCAAATTTAAAGACTTTTTCTGGACTAAGATTCATAAATAGAGCGTCTAAAATATAATGATGATAAAATAATTGTAAATAATTTATCACGTATAAATTCATGACATATTTACCTAATTCGGATGCAATTATATTACAAAGTAGTTTTTTCCCACTGTTAAGTGGACCTATCAATAAAATTGACTTGGGTTTATCAATATCAAACTCTCCCATTCCCAGCATTGATTCTTGAATAATCATTTTGATATCCCCCTTGGCTGGACCCAAAGTTCTGTAAAATGTGTTTGTACTCGTAGAAGTATGTGTGGCTATGTTAAATCTTAAACTATACGAGTTATAGTACTAACGTTAAGCCATCTTCATCTCTAGTATCATCGGCAACAAAGTTGAAGTCGGTGATAAATTCATCAAAATCTTTGTGGGAAACTTCCTCTATGATTCCTTCATCTTTCAGTTCTTGGTACAATGAATCAAGCGTTCGATCGGCTGTCATATCCTTGGGCTTTTTCTTCTTCTTTTCCTTTTTGGCTTTTGCTTTTTTTACTTTTTGAGCCTTATATTTTGTCTTGGTATCTTTGGCCAAAGCTTCCCTAAGCAGCTCATATTCTACCCTATAATATGATCGATTCCATCAATGTTAATTTATAATTAATTAACAAAACCTTCAAAATGTAATCGGTATCCCAAAGAAACAAACTTGGATGCATTGCGATGTACTTACCTCATATATTCATCAACCAATCCTCTCAGCTCCTGATGTATCTTTGCCAACTCTTCCTCTGTAATCCAGTCTTTGATCGGATCGTGATTTTTGTTGAGGTATTCATCAATGTTTCTCCAATCAAGAGCAAATTGCTTCATTGCCTCTTCAATATTTGCTGTAAGTATATATATACATAAATATACAAGCCATAGAGTAAATGTTATTGCTCTCTCTACCTATGGCTTTGCTTGAAGTTATCTCGTAGGCAACATCAATAATTCCGGCATCTTTTAATTTTTTCCTACGTTTCGCGTCCTTCATTTTCTGCTTCCTTATTTTGTCCTTTTGTTTTTGCTTTTCTGCCTTTTTCTTTTCAGCCAACTTCTGGCGCTCCGCTTTAGTCATAGGCTTTTTACCTAGGGTGTCCTGAAACTCTAATGGCGTCATTGTTTCATCTATGACAACTAATATGGTTCCAGTTTTTATCGGATCGGGGTATGGGTGGAAGTTTCCAGTCTTTACATAACTGTTAAGGAAATGAAATTAATAGTTTAAAGCATACGAAAATGAGTCGAGAAAACTTACAATTCTTGAAACCAGTCACGAATATGATCGGAAATGTCTTCCATCATCCAAGGAGTTCGCATTTGCAGAATCCTGGTTCGTTCATCAGTAATTAATTGAACATATTCCTCGTCGAGCTTTTTCTTCAACATCTCCTTTTTATACATATCCAGAACTGAATTCGCAAAACGGTTCGGCCGATTTAGCTTTCTCAGTTTTTTCATACCGTATAATTCTTCTTTAAATCTTCTCCTTATTTTCACAATCTTTCTTGTTCTATAGCCCCTCCACCAAGCTTGTATCTTACGAGCTGCATCATCTCGCAGTTTATTTTCCCTTTCCAATTCGTTCTCTGTAAGAAAAGAATCATTTTTTAGTTAAAGGATATACTAGTGTGGTATCATAATTATATTTACCATCAATAGACGGCTCCGAAGCATCCATTTTTTCTCTTAAGTTATCACATGATTCAAAGTCCTTTAAAAAATCGGCCGAAAAAATAGTTCTCTTGACAGGGATACTCATTGCCTGATCCGGCTTGAAGGTAAATCTATAGTTGATTTTTTTTCTTTGTTGAACCTTGAGAAATTTTTTTTTATCATATTTTATATTCGATTTATACACACGAGCTCTGCGTGCCCTTTCGTGCGCCTGAATCAGCTTCACTGCTTCCGTAACTTTGACCCAATCCTGTGCTGCCTTCTCCTCCTTTTCGATATCATTCATGTACAGTTTGTTGTCAGCTAAAATATTTTGAGCGTCCAAGGGACGGCGATATAGAAATTGGGGTGATCTCCATATAACCAGATCCCGGGGCGTGAGCCTTCTGGCGACTAATGCTTTATCCATATAAACGTATTCGCTCAACTCCATGCCTTTCAATTCCTCCTTGAGTCTCATCAGCTGCTGTGTTGCACTCTCGACGAGAACGCGTACCACAGCTCGTTTTTGCACTTGATAAGTATTATGATAGATGAAACTCAACTTGTCTACCAGCTCTACATATAACACATAAAGCTCTGAAAATATTTTAAACGAGATAGCCTTCTCTTCGGGGGGTTCAAGTTTCTTCAAACGATTCTGCTTCTTGATAAGTTGCCCGATATCCTTTTTGGTAGATACCCATAGCTTATGATTAAGGTCAAAAGACATCATTTTAACTTTATTGAATTGTATAAATATTCTCTGAGGGAGTATGTATGTGTATATTTTGTATTAATTTGTATTTATAGACTAAATAAAATAATAAGTCGGTTAAATGATTTTGCATGGGTTACTTAGTACCAACATAAATTGATACACAACCTGTTACTTATCTTTCATGAATAATCAGGGTATTTGGAAAGGCACTACAACCGCCTCTTTGTGGTCGATCTGTATTTGATTAACACCGATTAGAGCTTTCTCAATAAACAATTGCATCTGAAAATGTAAGCAAACAGGAACGAAATGTAATAACGCACGAATTATGAATTCACTTTGACTATAAGCATTCAGCTAGCGAAGTCTGTGACTGACAGACTTGCAAACTCAATTAACGACTAACCTGAAGTGTATCCTTAGAAGAGATTGGTTTTGTTATATAAAACTGATGGCTGGGCACATCCTTTAGCAGGCCTGTATACATTCAAACCAAAGTTTTTATCATTTTCAATTATATCGTTATAGTATGCATGGTAGGCCTAACCTTTCAATGTTATGTTTGGGTGCTGCACATTGTTCCACTGTTGATGCAAGCGCTGCGAATATAATTTTATTCTGTCTGTGTACTCCTGATGTTCCAGGCTATGGCAATCCATAGCCCCCACATTGATCATGTTTCTAGAAATATAAATGAAGATAAGTATATATGTGTACATACATATGCATGTACAACGCATATGCATACATGCACTGCAGTGCATCTTTAGAAGTACCCACATTGCTGTGTTCTGTACGAGTCTAGATAGTGCCGTTTGGTCATCTTTTTTTGGAAGTGAGTGGGCATAGTCGTTACTTAAGCCATCCGAATTACTCCTCCTGAGCGCCGGACTATGGTTGACGGGGTCTACGAGTAGGTGCGTTCTTTCGTTTGGTTCAATGTTCTGCGAGAAAAGGTTGCAATGCTTATATTATTGTCCAAGAATGTCGAACAGCTTACCTGAGCACCAACGTCCTCGGCGCAATGCAAGCAACTGCACACCGAAGCAATGTAGTTCCAAACAGAATGTACGTATTCCATATTAAACGTGCGTTTTACTATTATTCAACATTCATTCAACAGTTTGTACAAATTATTGTATTTAGTGAAACTATCGATGGTTTCCTTTCCGCGATGACTATCGATGTTTTTTGCGATGCTATTGATGGTGTAAAGCTAATTTAATGATAAGAACTAAAGCAAGTGGACATTTTAAAGCAAAAACCTTCATGTTTTCCGAAATAAATTATATCTTGGTAAAGGCAATAACTGAATTTTGTAATATTCATCATTATTTTGTATCCAATTAACTTTTAACGATATATCGAAACGCGCTTGCATCGATGTTTTAACATCGCTAGCAATAATGATATTTTAATAAATAAAATTAATTAATTTAAGTACAATTTTCTGTCGACAAGACTTTAATGCATTGATTGGATTTCAATCTCCTTGGCCAAGCTGGTATTGGGAGAACCTTGCCTAAGCAGCTAAAGATACCTAAGAGTTGACAGATCAATTGGAGCTCCCGGCCGGTGGCGGATGAGTGTCAGTCCTGCCCCGTGGGAAGCAATTCCACAGATTGACGATAGCGATCAAAATACGAAATATGGGTGGTCCAGTCCATGTGAACTGAACAACGTTCCACTCAGAACTTCAGCCAGGCGGGGTCGCGGAATAATAACTACTACAGTCTTTAACGGTTGGGGCTTAATCCCCTAATTCTTTATGTTCTATGTCCTACTCGAGTAGAATGGATCGGATGTCCACTTGCTTTAGTTGTTATCATTCCCAGGTGGAAATACTCTTCCTTTTTGGTTTTATGCGTCTGTAAACAGGGTTGAAGTAGCTCGTAAAAAACCTTTTTCAAATTCTTGTTCAGAAAATCTTTCCACCGATGATCTGAAAAGAAACAACAATATAAATGGGGAGCTTTAAAGATAAAAAATCATAATACATACCTTGCCGCATTTCTAATTCTATTTGTGTCAAACGAATCAAGAATTATATTTAATATATTTTCCGCATACTCAACTGCATCAGTTGCGAGAAATCCGTTCTGACTGCCTTCAGAGGTTTCAATGATATCGAGTAGAGGGCCTCCAGACCTATGAGCCACCATTATAAGACCAGCTGCCATACATTCAACAATTCCAATTCCAAAATGTTCATTCCACATGGTATGTATTCCAATATGAGCACTTTGAAATAGTCTAAGAAGATCATCATACGAAACATTCACATGAAATTGAACACAGTTTTCCAGAGACAAATGCTTTGCCAAATCTTCCATGTTTTTCAGCCTGTCGTAGTCATCTTTATTTCGGCAGGAGCCCACAATGACGAGTCGTATTTTGTTCCAGAGGGATTCCTCTTGTGCCAGCAGAGTTCGAAGCTCATACATAGCTTGTAGTTGCAGTGGATGGTCTTTTTCTGGGCGAAACTGTCCCACAGATAATATGATAACTTCATCATTTTTCTCCGAGTGCGGAAGATTTTTAAGATGGCTCACTTCACAGGGAGGATACACACGATGCGTTTTAAAAGGCACATCCCACAATTGTAATATGTGATTCTCAGTCCATGTGGAATTTACCATAATTGTGTCAGCGCAACGCCCCATCCATTTATAAATCTAAAAATGATGTAAATAAGGTTTAACAATTGCCATATATGTATCCTGTGCAAGCAACTGACCTTTGAAAACAAGCGGTAATAGGCCAGTTTGGCCCAAGTAAGAAATGGATTTCTCGCCACATATTTCTTGTTGTTGTGGGAGAATTGCCGGCTCTGAACTCTCCTTAACATGTCGGTACTGATCACCGGATAGTGTACATAGGCGCCGATTTTAGCCTGAACCAAATATCGGAATAGAGGAAAAGTAAACGCATATCCCATGGTATCAATAAAGATATCCGGAGGGAACTTGCAAATCGCTTCCAATCCCAATAACATCGATCCTAGGCTTTGGCCCAATAAAGTAAAGTGCGGATACGTTTTTGATTCTATCCAGCTCCGTTGCTTTAAAAACACAAACTCTACGTTGTCGCTATCAATAATTATGTTGAAGACATTCTTGGCTTTCTCCAATATGGAATTCGGGGACGCATCTATGTCCCCCGTATAAATAATCATCTTGGCATTGGGGTATTTTTCCTTAAACGAAACAATGTTTAAAAAATGTTCAAAAGTTATTCAGCTCTGAAGGCACGTATTGTATTGTCACCAAACCCGAGTCCATACATATATGTACATACATAAGTAAGATAAGGCGAACATTTTATCAACATAGGATGTGTGTACATAATGAGTGATTGGGTGCAGGTTCTAACCAGTCTTCAGATTCTGTTTACCTGCAAAGCTCTCACGGCGCACCATAAGACACGTTCGCCACCACCTCCCGAGTTGCAGTAGGGATGGAAAATGCCAACATAAACCTTATTATCTGACGACAAAGCATGCAATTTCTTTTTCTTGTTTTGTAGCCACTGTCGCAAACAAATAAACGAAGCAATAGCTATAGAGAGCAGAAGTAACAATATCCAAAGGCTATAAAGAAAACAGGTTAATAAAGGGCTCAACCAAAAGTAAAATCCTCTTCTCTTACACTAGGACAATCATTATATAGTTAGTTATTTTGTTGTTAAGGATTTATCATTATTTTATTACACGTATCCCACGGCAGTACAATCAGCGACGCCGGCAGTGCTACCTTATCGATCACATCTGACCAGTGTTGCCAAATCAGAGTTTTTTCCGTCAGCTCTAGCTTTTTTTAAGTCAAATGATGGGAACAAATTGAAAACAGCAAGCAGCAGGAATTCCACCTTTTTTTTTGTTAATTTTAATCAATCCAGCTTTATTTAATGCAAAAATATTGGCAGCACTACATCTGACCCTAAGAAATATACCAAAATATAGCCACTAACCATACAGTATATAGATGTGCCAGTTCATACAACGAAAGGGGCGCAGCTGAGTTTGCAGCGTACGTTCCCAGATCTTCGGCTTTGGGAATGGCCGCGTTGGGCTCATGACGTCACACGAGCCGACTGGCAGCAAGCATGCATGTGTTGTGTACGTGTACACTCCAAAATATATGATTGTATGCATAGAATAATTTTTAGCTGCCGAAACCGACTTTGTTCGAGATTTCAGTTTACGTAAACGTGTGTGTGCCATGTATTCACACATACTGTGCTTGTGTGTGGGCTCTACAATTTTTGGCCGCTTGAATTGGTTTTTCATTTTGTTTTGAGGGCTGATGTGATGTAGCGACCTATTCAGGGCCGGATCAACCCTCAACCGGGCCCTGGGCAACCATCAATCTGGGGCCCTCCTTTATTTTGTATTTTTCTCAGTGGCCATTATATTTTTTATTCATTATTTGGAGTTTTGTTTTTTCAACGAAATTTTTCTGTTATTTCTAGGAGGGCCCTAGGCAACTGCTAATCCGGTCCTGGACCTATTCCCGTCGTAAGACTTCATATTTTCTTGGTGTGTTCTGTAGCTCGACTCGACGCGGGTTGAGGCATTGACGAAGCGGTTCATAAAATATTTTTTCGTTTTGTTTTGAAAAGCTGATGTTGCGACGGGCGCGCGGTTCTCTTTTAGGCTAGCCTTTGCCTCTGCTTTCGGCTTCGTCAACAGAAAGCGACAATACACCAAGAAAATATGAAGTCTTACGACTGGAATAGGTCCAGGGCCGGATTAGCAGTTGCCTAGGGCCCCCTAGGGATAACAGAAACATTTTGTTAAAAAAACAAAACTCCAAATAATGAATACAAAATATAATGGCCACTGAGAAAAATCAAATAAGGAGGGCCCAATGATGGCCGGCCCTAGGTCGCTACATCACATCAGCCCTCAAAACAAAATGAAAAACCAATTCAAGCGGCCAAAATTGTAGAGCCCACACACGCACAGTATGTGTGAATACATGGCACACACACGTTTACGTAACTGAAATCTCGAACAAAGTCGGTTTCGGCAGCTAAAATTATTCTATGCATACAATCATATATTTTGGAGTGTACACGTACACAACACATGCATGCTTGCTGCCAGTCGGCTCGTGTGACGTCATGAGCCCAACGGGCCATTCCCAAGCCAAAGATCTGGAACGTACGCTGCAAACTCAGCTGCGCCCCTTTCGTTGTATGAACTGGCACATCTATATCTGTATGGTTAGTGGCGTGAGCGTGCAAAATCAGTGTTGTATTATTATATATATATATATCAGTGTTGGTTGCCAGTATTTTTTATTGCTCTTTTTTATTGCGCGCAATTCAAATAAGTTAACTGCAATTAGAGCTAGACAAACTAAAAGAGCTAATCATGCAAAGATAGCTAAGAACTAGTACTAATTAGAGGAAAGGTATGTTAGTATTAGTAGAATTATTAGAATTATTATTAGAATTACATTATTACATTCCGTGGCCCTTTATTTGTGAATGCATATGTAACTGAGCACGAATTTTAAATAAAACTTGTAAGTGTTTAAACCTGTTCTCTGATGCATAATAGCCCGCAGCGGATTCTTGGCAATAAAGTTCCCAGAACTTTTTTTTTTTTATTTTTATTAAAGTGATAATTAGTTACTATTTAGGTTACATATATGATATTATTGTTCTTAAGATTTATTTAAAAGTAATGCTAACTTATGTAAAGTTAAATTATATAAAATATAATTAATGATATTCCGAGTTGGGTTTTTTTGTAATTCGCTCCGCGATCCCCACCAAGGCGGCCATGTCCAGCACTACCAGACGGCTTGGAAAGGTGGAAACCAGCACCACGTTCTGCACCAATTCACCAAACGAGCTTCCACAGATCTCCAGATTGTCAGACTTCAGGTGAATAGGATGCAACGGCACTTCAGGCGTCCGATTGAAGTGTCGTTGAAGCATGCGTTGGATTTCGGTCAGCTCCCTCTGGATGCGTCCTTGGAAGTCCTCATCTATTTCTGGAAAAACGTGATTCTCCCAACACTCCCTTGCACCCACTGTTGGCCACTGGCGACAATCTATAACACTATACCTCGGATCTGCTAGCACAGATAAACGTACGTTATATTTACATATATTGATAGTGAAACAACATTTAGGCGCGAAACTGAATGACTATATATTGATACCGGGCTATATTGTACAAACCGCAGGACATAACTCAACTCTTTTCTGGTCTGTTGCTCGTACTGCTGTCTGCGACGTGCTTCATCCATTACGTAGCTATTCCGATTTTTTAGTAAGCCCCTTGTGTTTATTCATTTTTTATTGAAAATATATAACCAAAGTTTTCTTATAGAAAAAGTAGTATCTAAAGAAATTATTTAATTTTTATAAAATGTAGTTCTTCTTATATTTATTCATAGAATGTAAATTATATTTTTGTTTGTTGTGTCGGTAAAAATTCTTCTAGCTCTGAATCTTCAATTTCACAGAGTCGAACAGAAATATTGCTATTGGATCCAATTTCACCGACAGCGCATGGAAAAAGGAATACCTCCTCAGAGTTTTCTGTAATATATTGAATAGTTTCGAATTAATTGATTTATTGAGGACTAGTTTGTACTCAAACATACCACTCATCGTTCTTTTGGTATCCTTTCTTTTTATTTCCTTTCTTGAAATAAGCCCGTCGGTCACAGAGCTTTCCCCATCCGTTTCGCTTGGAAAATGCATGGGGGGTAAATATGAATCAGGATGTCTTAAATATGCTTCGCCTGTTAATGAGATAGAAGAATTAAATTTAATACGCCATCATTAAAAGTATTAAACAGTTGAATAAACAAACACACCTGTATTTAATTTGTAGTCTTCAATCTCGATATTGTTAAAAGAACTCAGTCTCGAAAGGGGCAGATTAGTTAATCTCGGCAACATAAACGTTTGAATGCAACTTTCCGCCTCAGAATCCATATATTCAGATCCGATGTCCTCGTTTAAGGCAGCAATATCTCTGCTTGGATCAACACCTCCATCTTCTCCTGTTCGCAGAAGATAAAAAAGATTTTAGTTGAATAAAAAAACAGGAAATAGTACAACAAACATACGATTTCTCGGATTATGTTACAATTATAATTTAAAAAATGAGAATAATGAGAAAATAAAGGAGATAATAGGTTACCCGGTACTCCTACAACACTGCCAAAGTGAGTTATGTATTGCCCTATCTCTTATAGATTTTTCTCTACAGGCTCACATAGACTGACGAACGAGAGACAGGCATGGCTATAGCCACTGGCTGTTGATTCTCAGAAATAATATATTTAAACATTCCTTTGCGTTGCGCGCGAATACGTGTACAAAATACGCCAAAGAAAAGTTGAAACTATTTGAAAAGTAAAACTATTTCTATATCGATTTTGAATCTATGCGATGCGATTAGTACTATTAATTTATATACTTACTATGGACGAAAAATGTCTTTTTGGACTTAGACTCGTTACTGTCATTACTGTGTACACTTGAAGAGTCAGCTATTTCTGCTCCTGGAACTTCAGTTATGTCTGGCAAGGGATTATGACTTTTGCGAACCCAGTCGGAACAGTCCCAATGGTATTGACCGTTTGCGAGAGCAGAATAGTCAACGAAATTTGCACTTGAAGAATGGCACACGTTAGGCATTTCAACTTGGATTAGTTTGCTACTTGAAAATCGACTACCCGGTGATCCATAATCTCTTTTTAGTTCTAAAAAAAAAAAAAACATTTAATCAACATAAGAAATAACAAGAATAACAATAAATCGTTCCGCTACTCACCATTGTTTAACTTATTCTCACTGAATGTTCTTAAATGCATTTGTTCGCACCATTCCTGCTTGTAGGCAATACTATCTACATCGGGGCCGTGACAAGAGTTGTTGATGTTAACGTGCTGCTTATTTCTGTTTACTTTTTGATATTCAAATGGTATGCTTTCAAGTTCATCACCGGCCGAGCCGTAACTCCGCAATATATCCAGATTATTAACGAATGTTGTATTACTTAGGAAGAGGTTATCGTTCGCAGCCGACGTATAGCTGATTGGGCGTTGGTTTACCTCTAGATTACTTAATTTTATGTTTGCTTTGCAAAAATTATCCTTATCTACCATCGAGTTCAAATTTGCTTCCTTATACGATTGTTTGTTTTTGGCCTTTTCGGCATTGCGTCTTTTCTTCGAAGACGAACTCCTCCTCAGTACCACACAACATATGGCAATACTTATAACTACTAATACAATGGTGGCGCCAGATATAATGCCGCTGATGTGTTCGAGGGAAAAGTTTTTCAGTTTGGTGGAAATCGAATTGGAATAGAGCGGATCCCCACAGCTGGCTCCAGTCAGGTACGAAGGACATATGCACCGAAAACTTCCCGCCTCATTGATACAAGTGGCTCCGTTTCCGCAAGGCTGATTCTCACATTCATCGACATCGATTTCACAGCTTGGTCCTGTATAGCCTCGGCACATGCAGTGCGGCACTCCATCACCTTCCTCGCAAATCCCACCATTCATGCAAGGGTTTGGCGTGCAAAACTTGCCATATTCACATCTCTTCCCAGACAGGTGTATGGGACATGCGCAGGAGTAGTTATTGGGTCCATGATATTCGCAGCGTCCGCCGAATAAGCAGGGACCAGAAGAGCAAGGATCCAAATCGATCTCACAATGTGTGCCGGTAAATCGCGATTGGCACGCACATTCAAATTGCTCGCTTCCGAAATCTTTGCAAATTCCACTGTTCAAACATGGCTGAGCTCCACAAATGCCCAGATTTACGAGCACATTCGATGGATCGCACTTGAACTCTACATTTGTGAATCTTTTTAATGCAGCCACAGTGCTTCCACCGGAAATGTACAGTGGCAGAGACTCCATGGCTATTTTAATGTTGGCCATACAACCAATGAATCCTCGCTGAATATCCTCATAGCCGATAATTGATGGATGTGGCCGAACCTCAGCGCCGACAAAAATATCATTGGACTGAATGTTCAGTATACCATTTACGCCCGGAGCGCTGCCCTGCGAGACATGTTTGTTGTCTATCACGAGCTTAGCACTGCTGAGTGTTCGTTCCAGACTGATGACATGCCACTCTCCATCGGATATGTAAATGCTCGTTACGCTAATTACTCCCTCGCCGGAACCCAAATCGAACCGATATTGAACGGCGCCATTTATAATTTCCAAGATATTGTAATCCACTTTGCCGCTGGCGTACAGCAGGGTGCCACTTTGTTGCAATGTTCTGATTTGTAGTGAGAATGAGAATTCGTTTTCCAAAGTGAATTTAGCCTTAATTTTATTTATTTTATAGTGGGCATAGCTCTTGCCTCCAAACGAAACGGCCGTGAATGAACTCACATCACAAGTTTCATTGTCACACTTTGAGGACTTTCTTTCGCAATATGTGCCCGAAAATCCCTTGGGGCAAACACATTGATACCCAACGATGGGTCCAGATGGTAGGCATATTCTTTGTGGCGAGCACGGGTCTGAGGAACATGCATTCACCGTTTCATTGCAATTCTTTCCGTCAAAGCCGGGCCTACAAACGCATTTATTCACCTGACTAAAGGATGGCGCAGCAAAGCTTATAACATCTGTATATGTGGTGGTAATGTTGTTCTTCAGAATGTTCAAAATCTGTTTACAATCACCATGGACACAGGTGTTCTGGTTGTTCAGACAGGTGGATGGCAGTACCTCCTCGACCACCAGGTTTGTCTCATTTTCAATCTCTTTCTTTTTGACAACCAGCGACTGGCGAATCTCATCACTGGTAAAGAATTCATCAGAATCAGGTACAATTTGCTCCTTGCGTACCGAAATAACAACATTTAAATTAGAATCTGTGGATCGAGCATGTCGTGCGCTGGCACGATTCAATTTTTCTGTTTGTAGGGTTATCAGAATGACATCTTTCTGGCGACAGCGCATTATATTTCGAATGGAGCGCATAAAAGTCTTTCTGTGACTCAACAAGAAATCCGATGCTGATATTTTACTGAAACGTATTACCACGGATTGTTTTATCATATCATTAGTTACAAGTTCGACATAGATCTTCACAACAGCAAAAACGTTGAATTTACCATCCGAAACGGACACGTTCAGCTTGTACAGTCCAATATCGAGGTTAGATAAAGCATATATTTCCCCCGATTTGTTTGAAATATTAAATAACTTGGAGCTCTTGTACATGTCTTCAATGGCAGGCACTATATTATAATTTAACTCATCGTACTTATCCTGATCGGAGGCATGAACTCGACCAATGAATGCACCAGAGAAATCATCTTCAAATGAATTGATGGTAACCTCCAAAGGTGTCACAATGGGCGGGTATTGGCTTTCCTGGATTATTTTTACCAACACCCAAGTATCAGAATATAGTGGAGGTGTACCATTATCAAATACACGTACTTGTATGCGGAATTCATCTTGCAAATTATGGTTGAATCGTGAGGCAGTGCTCAGTGAACCATCCTGCTCCAGTCGAAAGAGACCGCCCTCGTTGCCAGAACGTATGTCAAATGTGTATGGTGTACTATTGGGTGGCTCATCGGCGTCAGATATTTTGAATGATAGAAATATATATCCCAAGGGTCGGTTCTCTTGCAGCATAACGCTGTAGTTCGCACTGGCGAACAGGGGTGCATTGTCATTTGTGTCGAGTATGATTACATTGACCTGCACACTGCTGCAGCGCTGTGGAATTCCTTGGTCGCAGGCTTGAATCTCCAAATTATAGTTTGCAATAGTTTCTCGATCTAGTGGTCGGGACACGCTTAATGTGCCATTCCGTTTATGTATTGCGAACTGGCCTATGTGGTCGCCCTTTTCGATATTATAGTTTATCAGTCCATTTACGTTCGAGTCTTCGTCTGTGGCCTTAACATCTAGGATTGGAGTTCCCACCAAAGTGTCCTCGTAGGCATGGATGCGATACACGTTCTGCAGAAACTTTGGGCTGTTGTCGTTAATGTCCAAAATCGATATATTCACAAAGGCTGTGTTGCTCAGAGGCGGAGTGCCACCATCGATGGCCTGAATGGTGAGAAAGTAAAACTTTGACATCTCATAGTCCAATGTGGCATTGAGCGAGAGCACGCCCGTCGCTGCATCGATTTTAAATTTGATCTGTTCGTTGCCACTCATTATATAGTAGTGTATGTCCGCATTCACACCGATGTCCTTGGATGTGGCATGCACCTGACACACTTCCAGCCCATGGGTTGCATTTTCAAACACTTTGCACGAATATTGTCGCAGGCTAAACTCTGGCGGATTGTCATTTATATCCAGTATACTCACAACCACACTCGCAATGGAATATAGTTTTGGTATTCCGCAATCTTCGGCTTTGACAGATAAATTAAACAAGGAAATAGTTTCACGATCCAGGCTTTTGGCCAACCTTATTATGCCTGTTGACTTGGATATTTTAAAATAATCACTGTTCTCGCCCATCAACGAATATTTAATTTGTCTGTTTATTCCAAAGTCCTTGTCCATGGCATGCACCTTTGTGATCAGAGTCTGGAGCTGGGCATCCTCCGAAATGCTCACCGAGTACTGGGCCATCGAAAATATGGGTGTGTTGTCATTGACATCATTGACTATTATAATTATTTCAGAAAAACACTCTGTTGTCAAGTCTTTGCCATCTTGAACGTGTGCGACCAATTTGTACTTTGGAAGAGTTTCTCGATCCAGTTGGGCGGCCACCTTCAGGACACCACTCTCCTTCCCAATCGTAAAGTCATCTGCCCCTTCGCCGGACAAGTAGAAGCGCAATTTAAAATTGCTCTGCAGGTCATAATCAATTGCTTTGATTTCAGCCAGAGTGGTGCCAATGGGAGCCGATTCATTGGTAACGATGTGGTAGCGAGGCTTCAGGCAGTACGGTGTATTATCATTTACGTCTTTTACATCTATTTCCACGTGGGCTTTGGCAGTGAATTTTCCATCAGTCGCTATCAGACTTAGATTATAAAATGCAATTTGTTCTCGGTCCAAAGACTTCGCAATGAATAGCTCTCCGGTTTTACCAATCTGGAATTGAGATTGTTTATCTCCAGAAATGATAAAAAAGTCCATATCTTGCTTCTCAATATCGGGGTCCAGCAAAAGCAGATTGATTAACACTGTCCCAGGCAAGGCATTTTCATAGACAGAAATTTGATCGATTGGCAGTTTGAATGTCGGTGCATTGTCGTTATAGTCGACTATTTTGATTGTTACCGGAACTTTTGCATCGTGCTTTGGATGGCCGTTGTCTGAGGCAATTACTTTGAAATTAAATTCGGACTGCACTTCTCTATCCAGTGATGTCAAGAGCGTGATCCAGCCAGTGTAAATGTCGATGTCGAAAATGTTTTGTATGCTATCCAAATCATTCTCCAGATAGTATCGTATGTCTCCGTTTGGCCCAGTATCCGCGTCAGTCGCCGTAATTTTTACCAACGAAATAACCCTATCACTATTCTCCGGCACACTTACGCTGTAGAATGTGTTGTCAAACTTTGGATAGTTATCATTCTCATCCCTCACATGTATCACAATGCTGGCATAGGCGAAAAGAACCGGTACGGTGGCTGTTTCGGCCACCAAAATCAAGTGATGCGACTCTTGCTGCTCTCTGTCCAAGGTTTGCTGGAGGATAAGCTCTCCGCTATCGGATATTATGAAATGGCCTTGTTCGTCTAAAATTGTAAACTTAAATGTGAAATTTCCCAATATGTGCAATTTTGTGATCACCGTTCCTGGCGGCGTTGATTCAATTATTTTGAGAAGAACGGAGGCTTTCTCAAATGTGGGAATTGTCACATCTGTGTCAATGATCTCGACAGACACTGGCACATCTGTATGAAATTGAGGATCTCCACCATCGTGGGCGCGGACAAAAAATTGATAAAGCCCTGTTTCATAGAAACCTGCATTGGGATTGAGTTTGATGTTTCCATTTTTCTCGTTAATTTCCAGGGTATCCTTTAGTTTTTTATCGATGGAATTCTGCACAATTCGATAACTGATTGCACCATTTTCGGAAATGTCGTTGTCCTTTGCTCTCACCTAAAAAAAATGCCGAACAATGAATGAATCTCCCTTTCAGCGCAAAACAAATTTTTTTTATAAATTTATACTCACAGTTAGAATTGTTTTGTTGAGTTTCGATGATGAGCTGATAACCATTTTATATTCTTTTAATGGAAAGTAGGGAGCATTGTCGTTGGCATCATGAATCAAGACCTTGAGTGATGCAAATCCGTATTTTCCGCCGCCATCAGATACTTTTAAAAGTACGACGTACTCATCTCTCTTTTCACGATCAAACGTTACTTTGGACGTTATTATTCCCGTGTTGCGGTCCATAATAAAGAACTTTTTCATTTCCTCCGAATCAATTTCATAATACAGATTCGAATAGGGTCCAAAATCCTTATCGGTCGCTTTTACCTAAACAAAAATACGAGCTTAAGTTTAGCAAACAACAAATTAAAATGTATGTATATGCTTACCGTTATAATATTGTGGCCATGCAACAAATTTTCGGGAATTTGCGTCTCATAGATGCTTTGTTCGAACTGTGGACTGTGCATATTTTCGGGAAGTAATGCAATTTTTAAACGTGCGTACACCGTGTGCACCCCATCCGAAACGGATATATTCAAAACTGTATTACTTTTGTCAGTGAAATTTAACATATTCTGCAGGGATATAACTCCAGATCGTCTATCAATATCATATGTTTGCAGTTCATTTCCATTGACAATTTTGTATTCCAGCAAATCAGTATCGCAAATATCCTTATCGTATGCTCTTGGCAAGGCTACAAACTGTCCGCGAACTGCTGCCACCGATAGTTTGATGAAGTACGACGGTTCCACAAAGCTGGGAGGATTGTCATTCAAATCTTTTACTGCAAGCAAAAAATATTAAAGTAAATAAAAATGCAATATTTTATGTAAAAATTACCTGTAATAAATATATTTGATCTCGAACTTAATGGAGGCGAGCCGTGATCTCTTACACTCACAATAATGTGATGGTATTTTATGAGTTCATAGTCCAATGGAGTTTTCAAATATAAATGCCCATCTTCGATGTCAATATAGAATAGTTCGGAATTGTTTTGGCCATTAATAGACTCGATGAAATACGAAAGCTTCGCATTTGCTCCCGAGTCTGCATCAGTGGCGTTTATTTGAATAATTTGTGTGCCAAATGATGTGTTCTCTGGTATGGTGATGTTGTAGATATCACTTTCAATCTCTGGATAGCAATCATTTACATCAATAATTGCCACGGACAAGACTACCTCAGCATAGATGCCAGAAAGACTATCAGTCGCTCGAATTGTGACGTCGTGGCTATTTTGTTTTTCGTAATCAAGTTCATTGACTACAAAAATTGATCCTGAATGCATAGATTTTTTGTCATTGGCTATGAATATTGATTATTTGATTATTTATTATTTTTTTACCTGTGTTGTAATCAATTTCAAACGATTGACTCTCCGACGATATGGTGTAAATGAGTTTTCTGCCCAAGGGACTCTCGGCCTCAATTGACACAAACAAAACTGAATACATTTCCACGTCTTCCTTGACACTCACTGTGTAAAACTGTTTCTCAAAAATTGGCATCGATCGGTCTATCACCTGTTATCAATAATTATGTTTAATGTAACTTTTTCGTTTGTTAAAGATAGTAATAGATTTACCTTCACTTGAATCGGGGCCTCCGAAGAACATGGAGTTATGGCCCCATCATACGCTGCCACAGTCAACTCGTAATTTCGATTATGACCTTCCACATGTTGTTTTAAAGACAAATCTCCACTTTTGCGATCTAATTTGAACAGTTCGCCATTTCCCTTCTTTAGTTCATATCGAACTTCCCCGTTCTCGGCACTGTCTAGATCAACGGCTTTTATTTTCATGATAATGGTGCCTTTGGGATCGTCTATTGAGACAGTGGCATAGTAGGGCATATTGACGAACAAAGGACAATTATCGTTTACATCCAAAACGGAAATATAAACCGAAGTAACTGCTCTGCGCACATTCGAATTGAGTCCGTCAAACAATATAGACTTTGCCTCCACAAACAGTTTGTACATATCGAGCACTTCACGATCAAAAATCACTCCAGTTGTCTTCAAGGCACCAGAACTTATTCCAATATCGAACATTTTCGTTGGATTCAATATGCGGTATTCAACATTCTCATTCAATGTATTCCCAACGACATTCACCAATCCGATGGTGGCCACCTTTGTGTTATTTTCAAAAGCTGAAAACCTATAGCTATCCCTTTTAAACAAAAAGTTTGGATCGACTGTGGACACGACGTTAATTTTGATGATTAAAATTGCCGAGTATATGCCATCGGAGGCCCGCACGTGCAAATTATATTCCTGATAAGGGCCATTATTTAATATTTCGAAATTTCTGAAAAATCAAAATAACTGTTCGAATTAAAGTTGCAATAATTAGGAAATATTTAGACTTACCTTGTGGTTACAATGCCCGTGTATTTATCTATTTGAAAGCATTCGTCGGTGTTGCCATCCACAATGTCAAAACGTAAGCTATCGTTGTCCGCATCGTAGGCTTTGATTTGAGTAACGAAAACGGTCTCAAATGTTGGCAGGAATAGTGTTACGTTGAGTTCTCTTTCATTAAACACGGGTGGGCAATCGTTCACGTTGATCACTTGTATTTTCACATGTGCTTTAGTATTGGAATGCAGTTTGGGTTTGCCCATATCACTGACCTATAAAACGAAATAGATTTCATCACAAATATAAATATGCATTAATTATAGTTGTTTGTAATTTGTATACCGTGACGTCGAACAAATATTCCGAATCCGTTTCGTAGTCCAAAGGTCGTAAAAGTTCGATAGCGCCGGTTGTTGGATCAATTTTAAAAAACTGTTTGGCAAAGTCATCATTTATATGGTATTCAAACATTCCATTGATACCAACATCAGCATCTGCAACTTGCAACGTTAAATGACTGAAAGAATAGAGCGTTCGTTAGCATAAATATACTCATCATACTCAAAGACAAAGACTCACTGGTTGGCAGAATCGTGTAACTTTAAGACGTATGATCCAATTTCAGCGGATTCAGACAGAACTCCAACATATTCAGTTTGAAGGAAGTGAGGAACATTGTCGTTAGCATCTAGGATATGTACTATTATATTTTGGCATGCTGATTCGGCTGCCATGTTGGTTCCTTTAATCGTAAGGTTGAAAACCCTAAAAGAATACAAAATTAGTTACGGATATTTCTACAAAATTTGAACGCTCTCTTACTTGTTTATTTCATAGTCGATATTGTTGTTAATAACAACAACTCCCGTTGATGGATTGATACGAAAGCTTTCGTTAATATTGCCAGAAATTATATTAAAGAAAATGGAAGACGATGAGCGAGCTGTGACCTGAGAGATAAACGAACCAATACTCAAATTTTCGAAGATTTCTATTGCCAAATTGTTGGCCGAGAATTTTGGCGGATCATTCTCAGACATTGTAACGATGATATGGACAGGTATCTGTGAGGATAAGGGTGGTTTGCCCAGATCTACAGCCTTCACTTGGAGCATATACTCTTGAATCTTGTTTATATTCAAGCTGTCGGACAACGTTATGATGCCAAAGGTTGAATCAATTTCAAACACACTCCCCACGTTCCCTGTAATAATCGAATACTGAATCTCCGCATTGTGGCCACTATCTCGGTCTATGGCCCTTACTTCGGCCAGTTTGGAGCCAATCGCTGCACTCTCGGGCACTTTACTTTGAATTATTTTCGCCGTGAATTCCGGATGATGATCATTATGATCGTGAACATTGACAATTATCTTGGCATAGTTTCTTTTTCCCGGTGCTCCTTGATCTTTAACGAACACGATGAGTATGTGCTGGGCAGTTTTCTCGAAATCCAGTCTCTGGGCAACAATAACGTTTCCACTAATGGAATCAATGCGAAACAAGGCAAGCGACGACGGATCCTGAGTGGCATGCAGGTGATAAAACAGTTTCTTTTGCTCATCCCTATCGGTGGCGTGCAGCTGCATTATAACCGATTCTTCTTCGATATTCTCGGATATATTAACATGATATACATCCTTGGCAAACTGTGGCGTGTTGTCATTTGTGTCGGCTACTTGAATCATAATGCTGGTATACGTAACAAAGGTGCCATCAGTCACACTTATATTCAGATTGTAAAACGTTTCCGTTTCGTAGTCCAAATATTTCGCCAACAATATGTTGCCGTTGTCCTGGCCAATATGAAATGTGTTTGCTTCATTTCCACCTTAAATAAAACAAAAAACCATATAATTTAATTAAGATTTTAACGGAGAAAGATTTCTAGCGGACTTACTGGAAATGTTAAACCACAATTGGTCGTTATCATCATCGACCGCTAGAATTTGTGTGACCAAAAATCCCGGCTTGTCGGTTTCGGTCAATTCAACAACACTTTCAGTCGATTTTCTTAGCACTAACGGAGCACTTTGCGAATTGGGATTAACAGGGATAATGACTATATTAACTCGTGCGGTTTGACTCCGTTTAGGAATCCCGTTGTCCTCGGCTTTAATGTGAATCTCGAACTCCATATCAGACTCTAAGGGTTTCGCTATAAATATGTGGCCCCTCGAGCTATCAATCCGAAACTTGTTCTTTCCCTTTCCCGATTTGATGGTATATGTTACACGTCCATTTTCCCCCTCATCGCTATCAACAGCATGAACCTATAAGAAAACCAGATGGGAATAATAAGAAAAGTTCAGCTAGCAAATAAAAATGAGAATTACCTGGAATATTGATTCGTTGACAGAAGCTGTAGATGGAACTTGAACTTTGTAGACCCGCTGGTCAAACTCGGGGCTATTATCGTTTATATCTAAAACTGATATCACAATTCGCGAGGTGGAAGACAACATTGGAGATCCATTATCTGATATAGCCACCTAAAAAAACCATTAAATAAATATAAAATGTATGTAAATCAAATGAAATGGGTGTGCATGGTTAAGTCAAAAAAGTTATGTCGGGTCACGCTGTCCGATATTAGCAAGTAAATCAACATAAGACATAGCTAACTGAATTTAAACATTTTACAGCAGCTAGAAAGCTTACCTCCAAAATATGTTCTGCTTGGTTTTCCCGGTCCAGTTTTCGTTCAGTTGTTTTAATAGCACCTAAAAAAACAAAGAACAATACATATTAAATTATAAATTTAATAACAGGTACATGGAAGAATGATGTTCTATACCTGTTATTGAATCTATTTTAAAGTATCCCACTAGATTCCCAGACACAATGTTATAGGTTATAAATTGAGTTGGGTCTCTGTCGGGATCCACTGCAGTCAGTTTGATTATATCATGATTTTCTGCACTACCCTCTGTGATATTAACATAGTACACTGGCTTGTCCGTCAGCGGAATGTTATCGTTTTCGTTCTCCACTTCGATGTAAACCTAACAAATAATAAGGCACTTGATTAGTCAATTATTGAGCAGTTAGTTTGTTGTGTTAGTCACCTCAACACAATTGCTTAAGGGAACTATGGCGCTGTCCTGTGCGCAAAGTGTTAGCCAGTAAAAGTTTTTCGTTTCTGCATCGAGCTGGGATAAGGAGCTAATTGAACCTGAAATATTGATTAAATAGTTGGCTCATGGGGGAATTTCATCTCTTTTGCATTCAAACCTTGATCGTTGACTGTAAAAATCCCAAGTCCATCCCCTCCTGTGATGGAATACGTTATTTTGGAGTTCAGATCAATCGTGTCCACATCCCGGGCTGTTATATTCAATACGAAAGTGCCCTTTGGGCTGTTTTCCCTGATTTTTCCCTCATACACGAAGTCATCGAATTCGGGAGCAAATCGATTCTCATTGACATCAATAATTTCAATAATTATTGGCATATCCGAAGTCAGAGAGGGGAAGCCACCATCGATGGCGCTCACAGTGAGGTGGTGCACCTGTCGGTTCTCATAGTCCAAATATCCTTGCGTTCGTATTGCCCCAGTATGTTTGTCGATTTTAAACAATTTCTCATCCATCGTATCCTCTTTCAGGGAGAAGAGAATTTCCGCATTGGGTCCAATGTCCTTGTCAATGGCTTCGATGACGGCCACGACAGTGCCGCGGGGCAGGTCCTCCCGCACTTTGAATAGATATTCCTGAACTCCAAACATTGGGGCATTGTCGTTAACGTCATCCACTACGATATAGACAAGAGCCTCTGATGATAGCACTGGATTCCCACCATCCTTGGCAGTTATGTGTAGTGCATAATTATCCTGTTTCTCGCGATCCAAGGGTGTATTGAGAAGAATGCATCCCGTAGTCTTATTGACAATAAAATCATTGCATTGAATAGACAACTCGTAAGTTATTTCCGCATTTATTCCCGCATCCGCATCGGTGGCATGTATGCAATGCACAACGGTGCCGATTCTTGCATTTTCCGTGAGTCGGAACGTAGCTAATGCCTTCTGGATGACTGGTCGATTATCGTTGACATCAATAATTGCAATTGGCAGCATTTTGGAATGTGATTTGGTGGGATTACCCAGATCATAGACGGTTATATTCAGATTGTATTCATGCTGACGCTCTCTGTCCAAATATCCAATGATTTGAAGCTCGCCACGATCGGGATCAATACGAAATACCGAATCGTAATCTCCATCTGATATGGCAAACACAAGCTTTCCATTATAGCCCAAGTCCCGGTCTTTAGCTTCGATCCAGGCCACTGTTTCGCCCAGTTGAACACTCTCGTTGATGGACAGCTCCGATGGGAAGTTGACAAACTCCGGTTTGTGTATATTTTGGCCATATCGACTGGGTGTTAGTGCTATATCGCTGAGCACTGACGGCGAGACACTTTGGATATTGTTCTTCTCCGACAAGGCCAAGGTTTCCGCCAGCCTTCGGGCCACTCCTGTCTCCCGGCACTCAAACGAACCATATCCGTTCAATATATTGGGATCATCGTTCAGTTCGTCGGGTATTATGTGTATATTGATAATCAAGTCATCGGAAACATGCGTCCCGTCTGTGGCAGATAGTTTCATCAGACGATTGTTTATAGATATTTTGATTAAATCACAGACAATGGACAGGGTACCGCTGGTGGGATCCAAGCTAAAACATCCATCCTCATTCCCATCAGTCAGACGGTACGATATAATGTCGCCAGCATCAAAATCGATGGCCGAAACAACAAAGATTTCAGTGCCAATTGGGGCTGATTTCGAGACTTTACCAAAGCAATTGACACGCTCGAATTGTGGTCTATTATCATTGATATCCTTCACCACAATGGATAGTTTGATTTCAGTCTGTCTTCTATAGGGTAGTCCCCAGTCAGAGGCACGTATAATCAGTTCGTAGTTTCTCTTCATCGTCTCGAAATCAATCAGAGATGTTGTCCGCACCACACCGCTAAAGTGATCGATCTCAAATGGCACGGTATTTAGGTTAGCTATGCTATACGAAATGTACGAATTTTCACCCGAATCCTTGTCCTTGGCTGTGAGTTTGGCCACCAACGAGCCAGCTAGATTGTTCTCATTAATGCTGATAATTCTGTTCATATCTTCAAAGATCGGATCGTTGTCATTCATATCCTGTACGTTGATTTTCACCTTAGCAGACGATTGTGTCCTCGAGCCAATATTCGCCTGATCAATGGCCGAAACTGTCAGTGTGTAAAAGGTCTTCTTCTCTGCATCCAACTGCTTGGCCGTGTACAGCATTCCGGAATCGGGATTAATGCGAAACTCTTCGCCTTCATTGCCGCCAACGATTTCCAAATAAACCAAAGAATTTTTCCCCAGCTCTGGATCACTCACTTTCAGCCTAATCACAGGCATGTTGATGGGCGCCGTTTCGGGAATCGACACCTCGTACACTTCTTGTGTGAATATGGGCATATTCTTGCGTTCTGGTTTAATTAGTATAGGAACGGATTTGTAGGAAAATCTGCGCGGTGTACCCAAATCCTCTGCTCTAAGTGTTAGATTGTAAATGAAATCTTGTTCCTTCAGGTGTGCGAATTGATTGAACTCTATATAGTATTCGTCTTTGGCCTCTGCAGATCGTAGAATAAACGTGCCATCCGGATTTCCATCGAGTATCTCCAAGCGCCCAATGTTACCATTCACTCCAATATCCTTATCGTTTACTCTAACGATTCCATAAATTAATGGATTCGAAGTGGGTGTCACACTTGAAAAGGTTTTGGCATAAATTTCCGGTGCATAAAAGTTTACCTTTAAATGTGCAGAAAATATGTTTAAAATAAGAATAAAAACAGCCGTTGCCATAAATATATCTCTATAACATAACAATTTGTAATCCTATAACTAGGTTTGTAATTCGGTCGGACAGAAGGATTTCGTCTACTCAATAATGGAGCCAACGCTGTTCACTAAGTGCGAGTAAATATAGTAGCTATTTAAATTGCCATACACAAATGATTTTATTTACCTGTTTCACTGAAATGGTAACTCTGGCTTTACTTGCTTGATGGTGCTGATGACTTATCAAAGATCCCCGATCATGGGCCAAGACAGTGAGCTCAAAGTGTGAGTTTTCCGCATAGTGGAGCTGCTGCAGTACTGTAATATCCCCGGTAGTTGGGTGTATGGCAAAGTATTCACTATCAATCAAGAGACTGTAGTAGATTTCCCCATTGACCCCGAGATCAGCATCGTCGGCACTGACTTTAAGGATACTTTGATACTTTGGCGTATCTTCGGGAACAACCACATTGTATTCTGTGGGATAGAACAGCGGACTCAAGTCATTTCGGTCGAGTACTTTAATGTGAATGCTGGTTTCCGTTTCATAGCTGAATGTGTTGGTGTCGTTCAATGTTATGTGTGCTTTGACTTTGACCAAGTATTCGTCGGTTTTCTCTCTGTTGAGCACAACATTATTTGTGCGCGTTCGAATGGCCAAGAAGGCAAAGTTTCCAACCAGTTTCTCCTCAACCTTGAATAGCTTTTCCTTATCGCCACTTATTATCCTATATTTAACATCCGTGTTCAGGCCGACGTTCAGGCCAGCCAGCTTCTCATGTAATTGTCCCTTGGCATAGGTCTTGCCAAGGCTGTTTTCTGGTATCGTAACATTGTAAACATTGTGGCTAAACCGATATCTAATCTCCGATTGGCTCGGCGGATTATAGTCGTCATTTTTACTTTGTACAGCTGGGATTATTATCCATAGACCACACAAAAGTAAAACCCAATGAAATATAGTAAAGGCTTTTCTTTTTACAGGCGTCACATCTTTTTTAATCTTCATAGTAATCTTTGACTATTTTTATTTCACATAATATCCTAGAAAAATAAAGGAGAAAAACATACAGCATGTAATCAATAAATTAACAAAACAAAACTTAAATTCATTCAAAGATTCAAAAAAGTTAAATCAAAGTAAAAGGTATTAAATAATTTTTGTAAATAATCCGTAATCTTAAAACTAAGTACTTAAACGTTCGATGTACGGTATGGATAAATAATACCGGATATAAAGGCAAACACTGTCTACAGGTAAAATCTTTTTTATCCATAAAAACCTGGTTTCCTAATCGTATATAATATTTTTGCTCCAATATTCATTTAAATTGTCTAATTGGGCTTTAAAGAAATTACTGCTATACTATATCTTTAGACATAGCTTTCTATGTGTGTTCCTATGCCAGCTGAATAAAGGAATATATTTATTTTGGTAGACCAATAATTCTGCCAAAAGAAAAATGTAGCCAATGTTTTATTCCTCAAATGTTAGGGTTAGTATACATAGATCCTGGTGGACAGACTCACAAGCCAGACATGACTAGTTCGGATTTGTTCGTTTTTTTGTGGGATCGGATATGACTCCTCTATATACACAAAACTGCAAGGGTAGATCTTTCTGCGGTAGAATTTCATCAGAACCTTTATTCGAGTATTGATACTCCCGAACAGAACGCAGAGAGCGGGTATCTTATGGAAAAAAATGCCGACTTAAGCATTCTCACTTTTTGTTAGTGAGAAATATGGACTATGGGGCCGATGCCGATCCTCTGAGTGTTGAACGCCTTCACCGAATGTAAGCCACTGTGTGGTATTTACATACCTACATAATATGTACACATGCAGTTTGTTCAGTTAACATGTGGTTTTCTTGCACAATTCACAGAAAAAATCAACCAGCAAGCTATTGAAAAACACCCACAGAATTTGTATAGTTATTTTTGTGTATTATTGCTATACATTTATTATGTTTAAACCACCTCAAAGACTAGTTTAGTCGTATGTACGCATGTATTTACATATGCATGCACACAGATGTATGTACATAGGTGTGTATGTATCTTACATTACACAGTTTGAACTCAATCTTTGGAAAAAACTCGCAAGTGGTTATTTTGTATGAATGTTTGATTAATTTCACTTTATTCGTTGTTAAATGTGATAACTCGCACTTATAGTTAATTTTAATTTAACGATCGTTGCATTTATCTGCACACTAACAGGTATTTCACTCTGAATTACATCCAATCGAGGCTTCTTGCTTTATTTTATGTACATACACACATGCATGTATGCAGTTAACTACGATGCGCAGCTGTTCGTTTCAAAGAAGAAGATCGATATAAGATATCGATAGTTGTACGAAATTACATACATACTACATATATTTGAAATTGATCTCCCGCCTACTATCTGTACACTGTTGCAACACACACAAAAATGACACGTACACACGCGTATTTTCTGTCTTTAATTAATTTTAGCGATAAATTGTCTTTTATTTTTGTAGCTGCAGTCGTATGTGACGAAATTTGGTTGGTCACTGGATTAGTTAACTGAGTGCATCATGATTAATTGTTTGTTTACTTCTGATTCATACAATACAAAACGCCCAGTGCTACCAGACTACACACGGAAATTAATTGCTTGTGCACATATGTACATACATATGTATGTAATATGTTCATATATGTTTAGCGCCACAATGAAATAAATATATTGACTATTTCTATCGCACTGATCTGTCTACAGTTATTTGGTACAACTCTCTATTAGACCACTCTGCACTTGATTAAATTATTTCACAAATGAGCAAAATCGTCTCTCCATTATGTCTCCAAGATGTTTCCATGCTTCTCCTAAGACCAAATTAGTTAGTTTTTCCTCGAATCTTATTGAAAAGGAGTGGTTCGATTTGTTTAATTTTTAATTGATCTTGGCTATAACAATTGTGACTGGCAGTCGAAATATATTTAATTCAAACTTCTTGAAAAAAAACGGACCAATAAGAAAACTATTTTATTTCGTAATGCTCTCGGCGTACAGTAGTTCAGCAATTATCTAAACTGAGTGAATTTTTCTTTTAAACATCAGGATATTGAATTGGTAAAAAATAGTCATTGCAAACCACACGTGGGCAATTCTTTGCTTGAGTTTGGGCTCAGTCAGAAATTCGCATTAATCCAAAGTTTATCCGTACTTTGCGGACCATTTTCTGGCTTACATATTGATAGATTAATGTTGCGATTTCCTCTATATATACTCGAAAATAAACTGAGCTCGCTTCACCGGCTGTTGATACACTCGAACGGTGCCAACCGTAGCCCCTCTCTCGTGACATTCATATCATACAGTCAATCATTAATTCACATGTAATTCGTAGAGTTCAAGGGCAAAATAAAGCATTTCAGGCCCACATGTAAAACCAAACAGCCCATTGCTAGGATTTTGAAGATATGGGACATTGTTTCGTTTGAATAATTATTACAGCCAATTGCACTCCAATTGAACAGCAATGTTCATCTGGCAGTCTCTTTTCAATCTATCATGCGGCTACCAAATCCAAGTCTATTAAAATTGCATGAAAATGGTAGTATGTAATTCAACTACGATAAATGTATCTAATCCGTTATTTTGTAGTTATTTCTGTGTGCGGCGTCAAGTAATAATAATATATTTTATCCTTTAAAGAAGCCGATATTGAACACTTTCATTCCGTCGTTATCCATATAGCAACTCTCTTTGTAAGTAATTCAAAGCCAAAAACTTTAAATTAGAATTTTTATTTTTTATTTTTATTGCACATTTAACTCTTTCTCATTATTATGCAACTGCTTATCACGTTCACAAATATTTTTAAAATTATTTCTATAGATTATAACACATCTGTACATATCTATATAGCTTGTACGATTTATATTTTAATAAATAAACATCACTTCAACATACACATACTAGTGGATCCAATACGTACATAGTACATACATACATATGTAGTATCCTTTATGGCATATTTATGTATGTGATGACAACGTCGCTTTTAGATGGAAACATGTTTTTTTCATTTATTCGATTGAAAGCTCTTGACGCGACGCGGAGTTTGATTATCCCGTTATAAACCGCAGGCGAAGAGAGCTGAAATTTAACTGTTTCATTGCCTTCTTTTAGGCGCCTGTCGCCTGTGTTGGTTGCATGGACTTTTCATTTTAATTTATGTTGTAACAACCGTAAATTTCTTTCTTCCTCTAGAAATCATACACGTTGTCTGACGCACGGAAAAATAAGGGTTCGTTTCGATCCCGGTTGCAGGGGAACGTTAGCGGCAGGACTTCAATTTCCTCTACCATATAATATACACCAATAATTCCCTTCCTCTTCTTAAATAACTAATACTAACATTTCCCGTAATTAGTACAATTTCTTAGCTATCTTTGCACGTTTAGCTCTTTGAGTTGTGTTTAGCTCTAATTTTCCTAGAATTTTAGTCTAACGTCCAGACAGTGAATGTATCTGTTAATATAACAGTACATTTTAAGGACAGGACTTTTCGAGAAAATTCCGCAATGGGGAATGTTAGGGCATGGTCTACCATAAAGGCAGGAAAATAATGCTACTGCAAGGATAATTTGCCATAAAAGCTGGATAACAATTTTATTGCAAGAATAAGTTACCATAAAGGAAAGATAACTGTATTGCAAGAAAACTTACCATAAATGAAGGAAACTAGTATTATTTCAAGGATAATTTACCATAAAGGAAGGATAATACATTTATTGCAAGGATTCACCATAATTTAAAATACAATTATCCACTCTTCGTATGCCACATAACAGTGCACCTATAACAGAATTTAACAATGCCATGTTACAGAGCTCAATTCCCTTTTCTTTAGTTAATCAAACCAGAATGTTTTTATCTGGACGTAAAAATAAGAATAAATGCAAAACAAAGTCGATGCATTTGTTGAGATAAAACATGAGGCCAAAACATGGTAACTAGCGGTTCCACACACCAACTTTTAAGAAATTTAAACATGTTGGAAAGTTATCTCGATTGCAGTGGTGCAATTTCCTCTGGGGTAAATATTCATCCAGCTAATTCCCAAATATATTAGTATAACGTGTTCCTTTCTATACATATGTATATAGGATCAGCACCACTAGTACTGACTTATTAAAAGCCGTGTAATTTGCGTGTATAGTCTACGTGCTGAACTGCAAGGAGAATAGTCAACGATTTTCGCTATATCCCAGATCAGTGTCCACATCATGCAGATCGTTTTTTGGGTCATAAAGAAACTTTGTAACAACTTGGTTTACTTTCTTATTCTTAATATAGATACATACATACATCAATTTATTCAGGCCGTTACGTGTTTTATTTTGTATGGCGATTAGTTAATTATAAACTCCATTCCTTGTTTTTTTTTAATGTTGAGTTAAGCTATTAAACGGATATAGTAATTATTTTCCTATTTACGTGGGCCTGACGATCTGCTTTACTTAGTATAGCATACGATTTAACAATTTTACGTCACGGCCGCACACAAGAAAAATATGGGTACATGCGTGAATCATTAGTTTACGTACATTTATTTGTATGTATTGGAAACGTAACTAATATATGAGGCCCTTAATTTCTCTTGTTGAACATTTTTTTATAGTATTTGCGGCCTTCTCCAATTTTTATTCCAGATCATCAATTCCAGCTACCGATGAGCTGTCTAGTATTTTGCTGTCCACTTGCTGTCCTCCAACATTGACCTGAACTTCGTTCGACTCCGCAGCTCGGTTTCCGAACTCCTGCATTTTTACAATCAACATTGCAAATACCTGAGCAGGGAGGGACGATTGTAGCACTTGCAGCAAACGTGCCGGCTGGCCACACACTACAATCGCATTTGCCAAGTGCTCTACACCAGTTTCGAAATCTCCTCTGGCTATAAGGGTTTCACCCAACTGAATTTCTTGCAGAAAATATCTGTAAGAGTATTTATTTGATTAGATGGCATTTTTCAGGATTATTTCAAAAGTACTCTATGTATGTAGCGTGCAGAACAATACATTGATTATATCCGTATAACGATTTTCGTATGGTCTTCTTTAAAACTAAGCTTGATATAGGAGGCTCATTAAAGTGTAAAGTCAAAATAGATTCTCTTTAAGTAGATTATGTTGAAGGACATATGTTTTTGTTTAAGAAGACACATGAACTGTTTGTATGCAAATAATACGGCCTACTACAGGCTAATCACCTTTGGTGCTGAATCATTATAAGCGGGAGAATAGTTTTGTTTGTCGTATGTATGTATCAACTGCAGACAACTGCAGATGCGCGTTTTAACTACACTTCAATAAGCCGAAAAAGTGTACAGGTGTACGGTTTGTTCTGATTGTATGTACACGCACATATGTGCGTGCATACCATTGTATACTTCTGCACGTGCTGTCCTTATTATATAATCTGTTTTGGAGCAGATTTACTTACTTTTCGATGGCTTCATGGTCATTTAGATTTGGTATTCCTGCCTTGGAAGGTCCACTTTTTTTGCTGCGGCGGCGACCTATTAACATATTTAAATAACATGTTTCATTCGTGTTAACCATTACAAGTACAATAATCTTACGCTCACGGACTTTCTTCTTATATTCTGGGTCATTTCGGCGTTTTTTGTCAAAGTAGATGCAATATCCAATGAACAAAGTACCAGCAACTCCAGCCGCAATTCCAATTGCAGTTTTATTCATTTCGAGCATATCAAAAAAATGATTCTTCACTTAAACTATATATATATGTATGTATTTTTTTTTATCATCAAATGCAATCGATAACTTTTTCTTTTCAAGTCAACTCTGTGCTGTGTCAAGTGACGATAGATGCATTCAACGATTTAAAACAATGGAACTGGTACACTGTTCTTGCTCATATGATATATATACATTTTCAAACAAGCCTTTTAATTAATATGAAGGTCTTAAATACTCTGAATTTTTATTTATTTAAATAAATACATCACCTCTGAAAGGGGTTATAATTTTTCTACATTAAATTAGCACCATTTTCGCGCAAGCAATAGCATTCAATATACGCGATTCGTGCAATGTACATGATGCCACTGTTTCTCTTCCAAAATGTTTTTATCACTTTAAGCAGCAGCTGCTATCAGGTCAAAGAAAAGTAAACACTTTTTTGAAAAATGTTTTTTTATTGTATAATCGCTAGGTTATAAAAAGAAGAATAACAGTAATATCTGGTAATACTTAAAAACGTTCTTTGACGGAACTAAATCACCAAGCATGACGCAGTCCCAAAGTAAACAGCCTATAAAATATTAATAGTAATCACTAAATAGTAGCTAGGACACATATTTTTATCCGATTGATGAATCAATTCTCTACAAGATTGGTTGATTTTAAGGACTCCCTCTTATATTTTTTATAAAATAAGGTTTAAACAAAAGAGGCAACACAATATAGAAGCATACAACGTAAGTTGCCATGAAATGTTTTGTCATTTGAAAACTTGTTGCTTGTCAACCGGTAGTATAGACATCTTTATACCCTAATTCTTTTAATTAGCGAGCGGTTCTAGCGACTATTCTGTGCCGTAAACTAAAAGCTACATATTTATCGCTTTCCCTAATACCAATAGATGGAAAAAAATAAAATTGAGTTTTGGGTGAATTTAATTCAACTATGTACACTAATTATAAGCTAAGAGTATGGTTTACAAGTTACAAAATATTATCCGCCCGTGGTCCCTGCCAAATAGATATCCATGGCCTCCTTATTCAGGTGGACCGTCGGGCGTCGCCTGGGTATCGGCTGGATGTGTGGCAACCGCGTCCCATTCACCTCATTCAGGCGCACGTTCGAGTTGGGATCATCTTCATCGCTCACATATGGGCTTTGCGATGACTGTGTGACATGCTGTGCCGCTGGCGGTGGATTGGAGCGCTTCCGTTTTTCGGCCGCCGCCGCGCTAGTTGTGGGCATGTCATCCTCGCTAACAGTTGTAAGGACGGGCACGGGGGTTGGTCGTCTAATTGCCGCTGTGGCCGTCGCCAATCTACGTGGGACGGAGGTGGACGTCGTCGAGCTGTTGTCCGAGGAGTTGGCTTGTCGCTGACTTGAGCTCACGTCCGAGACGCTCTCGGCCTGCTTCCTCCTTTGATGCTCTCGCGCATTATATGCCTTATATTTATAAATTTCCTCCAGTTTATCGTAACAAACCTGACAAAGTGGCGTAAAAGGCCGCAGTTCAGAATTTATTTGCTGTCCAAAATGGAGAACTTTTCGATCAGTCACCCTGGTGTGTGGCTCTCTGAGCATATGGTTGCCCATGCCGCAGTATCGACGCCCGATCGGGCTCGATCTGTCGGGCGATTCGGGTGCATGGACCCGTGACCCTGCCAAAGAGATATCCATGGCAGCCTCATTCAGGTGAACCACCTGGCGTCGCTTGGGTATCGGCTGGATGTGTGGCAACCGCGTCCCATTCACCTCATTCAGGCGCACGTTCGAGTTGGGATCATCTTCATCGCTCACATATGGGCTTTGCGATGACTGTGTGACATGCTGTGCCGCTGGCGGTGGATTGGAGCGCTTCCGTTTTTCCGCGGCAGCCGCGCTAGTTGTGGGCATGTCATCCTCGCTAACAGTTGTAAGGACGGGCACGGGGGTTGGTCGTCTAATTGCCGCTGTGGCCGTCGCCAATCTACGTGGGACGGAGGTGGACGTCGTCGAGCTGTTGTCCGAGGAGTTGGCTTGTCGCTGACTTGAGCTCACGTCCGAGACGCTCTCGGCCTGCTTCCTCCTTTGATGCTCTCGCGCATTATATGCCTTATATTTATAAATTTCCTCCAGTTTATCGTAACAAACCTGGCAAAGTGGCGTAAGAGGCCGCAGTTCAGAATTTATTTTCTGTCCAAAGTGGAGAACTTGTCGATCAGTCACCCTGGTGTGTGGCTCTCTGAGCATATGGTTGCCCATGCCGCAGTATCGACGCCCGATCGGGCTCGATCTTTCGGGTGATTCGGGTGCATGGACCGCTGGCGCTGGCGGTGGATTGGAGCGCTTCCGTTTTTCGGACGCCGCTGGCGGTGGATTGGAGCGCTTCCGTTTTTCAGCCGCCGCTGGCGGTGGATTGGAGCGCTTCTGTTTTTCAGCCGCCGCTCGCGGTGGATTGGAGCGCTTCCGTTTTTCGGCCGCCGCTGGCGGTGGATTGGAGCGCTTCTGTTTTTCAGCTGCCGCTCGCGGTGGATTGGAGCGCTTCCGTTTTCCGCCGCCGCTGGCGGTGGATTGGAGCGCTTCCGTTTTTCGGCCGCCGCCGCGCTAGTTGTGGGCATGTTGTCCTCGCTAAGAGTTGGGCTCGATCTTTCGGGTGATTCGGGTGCCATCTTCTATTGAAAATACTATAATTATTATGTTCTAATGCTTTTTTTTTCCCCAAGACTTACTATGTTGTGTGCAGTTTTTCCCGCCGATTAAGACGCCGTTCGCAGCTGTTAAGTGTGACACGTGTGTAAAGTGTGACAAAAACCAGGGCAATCCGGCGATCAAACGAGACTTAACCCAATTAACACCCCTTTATTTAAAAAGTTGAGCACCCTTTGTTAAACCGCGGAAAATAATAGCCTTTTTACACTGGGCGCGTCTGCTATCGATATCGGCATAGACGCAATGAAGCAGAAAGGGCGTTTACATTGGCAGACGTGCGTCTTGAATTTTGTTTTGGGTGCTTGATGACAAGGAAAGTAAACAAATTTTGAGAAATCAACAGAATTATGCAAGACGACAAGAAAATGGACGAAAGAGAATGATTCTTATATTTATTTATTATTTTCAGACATTTCTTTGTAGAGCTTGTGGGAGTTCTTCTTAAAATTATGAAAACCATCGAAGTTCGTCTCCAGCAGTGTCATAATGGCATCAGGGGATCACACAAATGTTGTATGATAATAATACAATCAGTTTCAAGTATTTTATTTCTTGATTTTATGTATATTTTCACCTTTTTGCACAACCATTCATTTTAGCGCCAAAATTTGATTTTTTAACTACAATTTTTTGTTGTTCTTAGAGGTGATAGTTGCGCTGATAGGCAGAAAAGTGCAAAAATGTGCAGTTAAGCGCAAAAGCAATCGAATATATCGAATATATCTTCGCCAAGACGCAAAGAAGCATGACGCAGTCCCAATGTAAACAGCCTATAAGCAGCAGCTGCTATCAGGTCAAAGAAAAGTAAACACTTTTTTGAAAAATGTTTTTTTATTGTATAATCGCTAGGTTATAAAAAGAAGAATAACAGTAATATCTGGTAATACTTAAAAACGTTCTTTGACGGAACTAAATCACAAAGCACCCCCACTTGGCGGATATGTCCCCTTATAAAGGGTCTAAACTCAGCAGATAGGATGACGATAAAACGACATGCTAAATAATTCGCTGAAACATTTGGAGGAAGTAGTACGATGATAATTTGCAGGCAGACACTAAATTGGTTTGTACTACACAAAAAAGTGGACGAAAAGAAGAGAACAATGTCCCGTGGTTAGCTTCCTTGCCTCTCAGACTGTATACTGTAGACTGTATACAAAAATGAGTAAGTGTATCTTGATGTCAAGGCACGTGTGAAAGAGAGATAAATCGAGCAAGCCCAAACACGCGCGAATAATTATTCTATTGACTAAAGGTAAGCCCAAAAATGTTTATGCTATTCCATCAAAATGCAATGCAATCGAATTTGGAGTAAAATTAATATAGTTTACCGATATTACTGATCAGCATCAATAGCCCAGGTGGGAAAACAATGTCCGTCTGTATAAACACTTGAATTTCGGAGGTTATTATTGCTAAAACAATCCAATTTACTGTGTACTCAGTTCAGTTTCCCACACAGTTTATCAGTTTAATTTTGCCACTGTATACTTGATTTTATCTATTACAGAACATAGCTTGTTAATCAGCTTTATTTAATTTTTCATAGTTCTTATTAGCAATTTTTAAAGTTTTAAATATTTATGCTTACAAGTGAAGTTACATATGTAAATGACGCATAACCATGATGTATTATGGGGCTTAATTCGGAGATAGCACATTTTTTTAGATCCAAACAAGGGTACATACAAACAAAGTTAATTTATACGTGTGCTTTCTGCATAATAACCTTTTTTCTGTTGAATACTAGTGGCTCTTCAGCTCTCTTATTGAAGAAATATTAAAAAAAGGAAAATTCAAAGATAAGCATGAGGCATTTGTTTTTAAATACGTTGACAAAGCAAAGTAAGTAAACCTACATACATATGTATGCATATGTGCATATGCAAATATGAATTACAGTTCGTTAAAATTAATTAAAATACATTTTTTTTTAGATGTGTATCGATTGGGCTTCAATAGATACTCAACTCTCCAAGAGCCCAAGGAACCTATTGTGAAAAGCAAGGCCATACCTGGACCGAAGTCCCTTGAGCTAAAGAATAAACTGGATGCTGTTCAGGTGATTTGTATTTTGTATTCTCAACATTCATTCGGTGCCTCACATTTTAAAGCGTATTAAAAAACAAACATGATGAACGGTGTCAGGAAAGGGAAAGTGAATATAATATTATTATAAAATGTTTCAATGTAACTATTAATTCCTAATAGTTACATAATTCTTAAAAAGAAAAACAATCTTAGTCATATCGTCTTAGTGATTATTTTATTCAACGCTTTCCGAGTGTCCTGTGTTTCCATGACAATTTGTTCATCGATTTTTCTCTGAATTGATATTTTGGGGCAATAACAATTGTTCACACCACTGTTAGCCAATAATGAAAATAATAAGTCTTAAAGACTATAAATAAATTATTAAATAAACATTAACCAAGAACAAACACCTCTTCTACAGAGCACCGGTACTATACAATTGTTTGCCGATTACGACAAGTCCGCTGGAAACTACATTTGCGATGTTGACGGAAATGTATTGCTGGATGTTTACACCCAAATTTCCTCTGTACCCCTAGGTTATAATCATCCGAGGCTCATCAACGTTTTCAAAGATGAGAAAAACCTAAAAAGTATGTAGTATATCCATCGGAAGTGGTTGAGCTTGCCTTCCTTTTGTGATTCCCCTTTTGTGCTTTCAGCTTTAATCAATAGACCCGCACTTGGGGTTTTTCCTGGAAAAGAATGGCCCGAAAAACTGCATTCTATTTTGTTGAACATTGCCCCAAAAGGATTAAACAAAATAACTACCATGATGTGTGGGTCATGTTCAAACGAAAACGCATATAAAAGCATTTTTATATGGTAAGTTTGTAAACATATATATTTTGTTTTGGGAACTGAGAGGATCCGTTAAAACATGCTTTTTAATCCAATATTTTTCCAGGTATCAAAATAAACTTCGTGGAAAGACAGCCTTTACGGAACAGGAAAAATGCTCGTGTATGATAAACCAGGCCCCAGGCTCCCCCCAACTGAGCATTCTGTCATTCAAAGGAGCCTTCCATGGTCGCACCCTAGGAGCACTCTCCACAACACATTCAAAGTATATTCATAAAATCGATATTCCATCATTTGATTGGCCCGTAGCATCATTCCCACAATACAAATATCCTTTAGATGAAAATGTGGCGGAAAACAAAAAGGAAGACGAAAAGTGTCTGAGTGAAGTCGAAGATCTTATTGAACAATACACCAAGAAAAGCAATCCCGTTGCTGGCGTTGCTATTGAGCCTATTCAGAGCGAAGGAGGTGACAATGAAGCATCACCAGAGTTTTTCAGAGGCCTGCAAAGTATTTGCAAGAAGAGAGGTGTTGCTCTCTTAATCGATGAGGTTCAGACCGGAGGTGGCGGCACTGGCAAGTTCTGGTGCCATGAACACTTTAATTTCGAGCAACCACCCGATGTTGTTACCTTCAGTAAAAAGTTACAATTAGGTGGCTATTTCCATAATGATGATTTTGTACCCAATGAGCCTTATCGAATCTTTAACACCTGGATGGGAGACCCGGGCAAAGTTCTGCTGTTGGAGGAAATCATTAAAGTAATACAGGAGGAAAAGCTATTGACCAATGTAAATGAAACCGGAAAAGTTTTAAAAGACGGCTTATTAAACTTGGAAAAAGAATTCCCGAATATTCTAAACTCCACCCGTGGACGTGGCACATTTTTAGCTATCAATTGTACCAACACAAATGTGAGAGATCGTATTATAACCGCCCTAAGGCATACCGGTGTTCAGACAGGTGGATGCGGAGATATTTCCATTCGGTTCCGCCCGGCCTTAGTGTTTAAGAAATACCATGCCAACATTGTCCTGGACCGCTTCAGAACAGTTTTGAAATCACTTTAAGATTATCTAAAAGTTAAATGAATGTGCTCTGAATATAGAAAATGAATGCTTATATACAATGTAAAAGGATTAGAAAATTATTTTGTCTTGTTGAAATTGTATTACATACCATTATTTCTATGCCGTGAAAATATATTTTAAAAAACTTGCGCTTCCATACAACTCCCATTGTTTGTTATACTCTTGAATCTTGGGAACTTGACCGGGCTCCTGCATGCCCTGTCATTATATCTACTTGAGTTTTACAGTGTGTAAAATTTGAATGGAAGTAGGATAGCGGCCAAGGATTGCAGAAAAAAGCTTGTTAAAGTTGAACTTTTGTTTTATTTTGCTATTTTGTCTTCTTCTTTGCAGGTAGGTTATAGTCGGGCCGCATGTATGCTTCTTTTACAGCCCTAGTCAAGGTGAAGGCTATATCGGATCGGATACAACGAGCTCTAAAGAGCTTTAAGGGTCTTCAAATAAATCCTAAGAAAGACCTTACCTGTATTACAGAACTGCCCCATCGATGCACCAGAAGTAATCCCAATAGCTATCACAATACAACGGTGATCGCTGGCACAACATTCGAACGCATTTCAGCAAAATAAAAAAAACACAAATACATATGTATGGTGGTTCGAAAAAGACAAATTTAATAATTTAAATATTATATAATATTATAAGAACTATTTATTTAAAAAGAAATTTACATAATTTCCACACTGAAATAAAAACAATTTAATTTGCAATTACACTATACAATTAAATGATTATTGCTTGCTTTTAAATATTATTTCAGTTAATGGGACTGTGGATCACACTGTAATAATCGAACTATTGAAGGATCACTTTTGGCTCCTTCTATAAACTCCTCCAAGCTTAATTTGCCATCTTTGTTTCGATCCATTTGGCGAAATATCTTGTCCGTTCGTTTTTCTGGAGTGCTTTCGTCCTCTGGCATTTTCATTACTGAACCAACCATTTTATATATTGCCTAAACAAGTAAATATAAATTAATATTAAATATTTTATAGATGTCCAGGAAACTAGCAGAGACTTATATAGATGTTTAGTATAGTCATTTCTATCAAAAAAGACTTTCCATTATTAATTATATTAAATACTTACTGTAACTATTTCCAGCATTTCTTGCCGCGATATGTATCCGTTTCCATCTAAATCATACATTGAAAATGCCCATTTCAGCTTTTGCTCGAGTTTACCTCGTGATGTCACACTTAGTGCGCACAAAAACTCTCTGAAGTCTATGGTGCCATCGCCGTTTGCATCAAACGTCCTAAAAACGTGTTCAGCAAACTAAAAGGAATATGAATACATACAAATTACCAGACCATTTCGTAAGTTTATTTATTAGGTGAACATCTACTTTACCTTGCTCGCATCGCCATATGGAAAGAAGTTTCCATATATCTTTTTGAACTCCTCTACAGACAAATGGCCACTTGGGCAGTCCTTAAGAAAACCTTTATACCATTCTTGAATTTCAGCATCTATAAAAATTGTTATTATAAATGATATATTGTTCGACGTTCAAAGGTATATGATTAGCAAGTCAATGGTGAGTTTCATGTGCTTCGTGTACTCGAAGTGCGCGCCTAAATTATCTCTCCCTCGTTGCACTAAAATATTTTAAGTATATTTACCTGTGAATTCTGTGTTTTGTTTAAGGTCCTCCAAGACTTCCGGCTTAAGTTTACTATTTTGCTTTCCCATTTTTTTAGACCAATTTCATTATAGAGTAATCTGTAATTGCAATATAGATATAGTCGATTAGAAAAAGATCTAATGAGCTAAGCAAAGGATTACATTGAGGATAAATGAAGCGAATCAATCGCACCCATCTGTTCACGCCAGACATTTTAGAGACATTTTAACAGATCCATATTATGCAACTATATAATTATACAATAAGTCCTAGTAAAGAATGAAAAAATTCCGTTCAGATCTTTCTTCACTTTGTAGAATTACAATGTATCAAGCCATCCTTTTCCTTCCTCTTCTCATTGAGAGCGGCATCAAACTTCCCTTGAAGCTCATTGATACGGTCCTTTTCTTCCATGGGGGTTGGAGAAATAAAATGACCTTTGACTGAAGTTATTTTGTCATTCCTTTCAGTTGATATTTATCCGTGCAGCCATTCTCCTGACTTTAGCAGCGCTGGCACATTTACCACTAGACAGCACGCCATTAGCTAATCGTATTAGTTCTCTAGGATCATAAGTACTTAAATATAGGAATAGGTACACCTTGAGCAATATTTTGGCCATCTGTCGGGCTTCGATTATTGATTGTCAGGTTTTCACTACAATTCTCAACATCATCAATCTGTTCCCGCACAGAGCCTTGATGCTTGATGCTTGGTATTACGTTCTCTGTTATACTCTCTTTGCTTTCTGAGCAAGTCTCACCCAGAAACACGAGAACAGCAATAGAATGGGTAAAATACAATAATAACGGACAGCCAGCAGAGGATCATTCAGTGAGAAAAATCTAGTAGTAATGCACAGCCAATAAGAATAGTCTCCTGTATGTAAGCAAACTTCAGGTATTCCAATACAAATTTCGCTTTTGGGAGTGATGGGAGCAAGACCTAAACACTATGGCATATACGTCGGGGTCACCAAAAGCGGGCGCGTTGTGCCCGACCGTTAGGTTAGGCGTTAGTTAGTTATTAGATTACAATAAAGGCAAACCAAATAACAATCTTAATGTTTAAAAAAAAAGTCATAATTAAAGAAATAGCCTGTTATACTCCATAAATACGTGCCCATATGGTGCGTTATTAAAAGATATCGGCTCAGCAGATACTAAATGAATAGCATTTATTAAAGTTAAGAGTTTGTATTAGTTGCGGCTCCAAATAGAGCCCAGTGATATTAGCGTCCCCATATTAGAGTACTTTTGACATTTGACCAAATTTAGATGCAATTCTAAATTGGAATGAGACTTATACAATGCAAATATTTTAATGATTCCATAGTTTAATTTTAGTATAAGAAATATAAATTAAATATTTATACATTTCATTACTGATTTCATCAAATACACACATATTGTAGGATATAATTGTTTATGGCGCCAACATTTTGGACAACTCTTCATCTTGTAAGCATCCCTTTAAAAACTCATCTTGCGTTAATTGACCATCATTATTCTCGTCCATCTTAGCAAATATATTTTTTGCTCGTTCTTCCGCGGAGTCTGCAGGACGATTGGATGAGCACGCTCCAAGCATATCATAAATTGCCTGAAATAATAAATAAATTTATCAATGAGGAGGATTATGGCATGTTTTAAAAGTTACAAATTTTTCTTTCTTTCATTTGATATTGAATTTTTAGATACAGCAGGCAACTTGGAGACTATTCTAAGAACTTTAAAACGTCGGCGATACTTTCAGTTCAGCAGATTAAGCACGGTTGCTGTATACAAAGAGTTGTCAAGCGATTTCGTTGAGAGATATGGATTCGATTATGCCACGGAAGAACTTGTACTGGAAGACTGCAAACACTGTGCGAAAAATGCCAGCAACTTCATTTATATTTACGCCAATCATATAGGAGCATCAAAGTGCCTCGCCATGTACACGACATGTATTTTGATTTTGCATTCTCGAGCATTCCCTTTTGCTTCTGGGAGCAGTTGCCCTAGATTTCATACCTGAACAATTTTGGTCATTTCTTGTATGTCTATGACACCATTTCCATCAACATCGTACATTCGAAAGGCCCATTTTAGCTTTTCTTCTGGAGTTCCGCTTGAAGTAACATCTATTGCAAGTAAAAATTCCTGAAAAATATAAAGATATTGTTTCCGTAGACATTTAATAATTACAATATTTTTGTAACGTATAACTTCGAATGAATCGATTTTAAATATGAAAAGCATGACAGTATTAATTACACACACAAACACAGCCACGAAACAAAAATTAACTAACCGTAGAAATAACCTACTAACCAGTAACGAGGGCAACGACCCCACAATTATTATAAAATCGAAGCGAGATGCATTAGACATGCCCCGCCCCAAAAAACGTGTTTCACCTTACCTTACCTTGACTCGAGTACCTTTAACCATACTAGGTACATACATATGATCTGGACCTAGGAGCCCCATAATTATTAATTTATGGGCGCCGTGCCTTTTGCCCCGTTGGATGAACAGAAAACGAAGTCTGAATATTAAATACAATTCCATTTATCTGTGAATTTTGGCGTACTTTTACGCAGGCGGATGGACATAGCTAAATCGCCCAAAATCTGCCTGTTGCCGACATTTGCACGAATTATAAAAAAACTATACTTCCGAAAAAGCAGATGGCAGGAATCGAAAATGTGGCATGTGTGGTAAGTGCTTATGAATGGAATAACATAAAATAATTACCTTGAAGTCAATATATCCATTTTTATCCATATCGAATGTACGAAAAACATGGTCACAAAATTCCTCCGCATTTCCGGATGGAAAAAACATTTTATACATATCGACAAATTTTGCTGGCGTCAAACGCCCGTTCGGGCAATCTTGCTATACAAAAAAGAAACGAAAATTAGCCAGTTTTTTTCTTGTTGCAAGCCAAGTGTCACCGCAAGTGTCGTTTACTCACCTTAAATCCTTTATACCACTCTTTAATGGTGGCTTCATCATATCTTGTGTGGGTTTTCAAAAACTCCATGTCTTCTTTAGTTAAACGGTCTTTACTACTTAAGCAACCCATTGTTTTGCTTTGCACTGTTCTGTTAGTAACTTACTAGAGGCTTATACTTATTTATTTCAATTTATTCTAAACGTAATCAATATTCAATGGCTTTTCCTTGCCAGTACTTCTCACATTTGACCTGATGTTTGTTTTTGAACAAAAACCAAATTTAAATCGATATTTTCAAAAGCATCTTACTGCATTACGTTAACGTTAACGTTCCGATATGCATGAATTCAATTAAACCACGATATAAAGCACACATATAATTTTTGATCGAGCAACGACTCGACTCGTCAAATTTTTTTGATAAAAGGTATGAAAAAAAATATGGTATTTGACTCTATTAACTTGTATATTTCATTTTCAACCTGATGTGTACCAAAAGACTACGCGAATCAGACGTTCAGGCGCATGCGCGTAAATTCTCGTCTCTATACAGGACGATTATTGGTTAACCATATTTTTCTCTACACACTAAGGGTCCTTTTTCTTCTTTTTGTGTTAAGAAGAACAAAATAGGGTTGCCAAACTGTTACAGTTTATTCGATTAATTTTTATATAATGTCTGATGAATATTAAAACCTTAAATTTTTTGTTTGTTAACAAATTTAATTCTTTCCATCTTAAATTGATTCACCAAACCATCATTTAAAAAAGATAAATTCTGCTATATTCTTAATTCACCAAAATTTTAGTTGAGCGCTTATACAAATGTAACTTAAAAATATAAAAATAGTTTCATATGCAATGATTAATTAAAAAATTAATAACTCTCTTTATAATTTACTCAAAAGGATCCGCTGCTATTCTTAAGGCTTTGTTAAACTTTGTTCCCAGGAAGAAAATAATTTTTAAAAAACTTTAAAAAGTAACTTATTTTATTTAATTTTTTATAAAAGAAATTGTAATTTTTCTGCTATGGGCGTTGCAGCAATAAATCGACAGCAAATCGCGAGCTGAAACATTTAACATTCAATACTTTTCATAATTGCAAAAATGTATGTTATTTGTGCATTAGAAATAATTATCACGTAGTGAAATCATTTTAAGCAAAGAGATTAACAATCTAGGTGTGGTAGAAAACAAATTGGTAAACAAAAAAAAACGTAAAGATCTTTATTAAATTATTCTTCAGGGTCTTCAGGTTTAGACCTCATTTGGAGGAATACTTTTGATCGCCACAAATATTATTTAATTTATCAATGCTGAAAACTAGTCTCTTTTTGGGTAATTAAAACTACTCAATATATACATATAAGTCGGATGCTATATCCATTTTTTTCATGTTTTTGCATATGAGAAAGATTTTGTGAATATAATCCAGGGAAACGTAAGAATGTAAAGGTTTTTATGGATTTAAATCAAGCACATCAGACTAAATCCGATCATCAAAATCCAGAAACACGATTTCATAAATTGGAAATAAATGTACATATATGTATGTTTGGGCAGTAATGGTTTCAGGGCGTCAAGTTTAATTGCCTTTATTGCGATGGCATTTTAGGAGACGCAAAATTAACAAATCTGGACGTAACTCGAGCATAGCCTTACGAGCTGACGCTTTGGCAATCAATGGGGGTATACATGCAATAAATTCCACTTATAAACTATATATATTTTATTTTACTCACATCATAAGGTGTTCCTTCTTGCAAGTCAAATACCATTATTGACCTCATAAAGGTTATTGAGTTGCTGTAAATATCAGAATTAAAATTTTGCATTTTAAGAAGGCAATTGCAATGTTTTTTGAATACTATGTATAAGATATACGCACTACTTATTATTAGATACTCGCAAATACTTATTAATAAGTATAAAATTACTCAATGTGTTTTTATATTTTTATAGAGTTAATTTAAATTCAACCACTGACAAAATTTTAATATTAAATTTACCTAAGCCCTGCCATGCTGTTCGGTCATAAATACGATTATTTTGTTTCCGGTAGAATTCAGTTCATGGACAGTAATAGAGAAAATTTAATCATTATCATTATCTTCCCAACCCTATATGGAAAGCGGTTTACATATCTATGCAGTTAGGCACAAATTTGGCACAAACCTTTTGTACCAAATTTTGTTTGCTTTAGAGCTCAATCTAATGCGAGAGTATCTAAAGAGAGAACAAGACCTCTGTTTAAGTATGCCAGACAGAATACTCATATTTTACTGCCAGGCCACTCTGGGAGAGAGAGAGACAAAAGCGCAGGCGAGATTTATTTATTCTGGCTATAATAATGAACCGATGGCTGTGAATTTTTACAAGATAAGAACCCTATTTCTGAATCTGAATTGTCGGTCTCGAAATCTTTAGGTGGCTTAAAGTTGAACGGCCACAGGAGTCTAAACGCCAAATCCGGTTTCTCTAGCTTGTATAGTGAGAACTAGGCGATAAACAGGATGGAGACACGGATGGGGCCGGACACGGTCATGGCTATTGATGCAGACCAAAAATACAAATGCTAGTATATAATAAGTGAAATGTTTCTTTCTGGGTGAAGCCTATCCTTCGGATCAAGGTGAACCCGAGTGGTGGGTAATTTCACTGGTGTAAACGAATCGCATGAATGCGAAACGTACAATTAGGTATAGACTATATATGAATATGTATGTACGTATTTTGATTGGGATTTTGCATCTATAATGGACTTATATGTTTACTATGTTTTTAATGCACCTGCGTGTGTATATGTATATGTGTGCATGCATGTTGTATGTACATATACTACAATGAGCGCTATTTACATTTGTTTGTGCATAAATGTCTGTTTACGGATGCAAAATTTACATGTCCGCATTTCCGTCTGTGTATATTTTACCTGAATACGAGTTACACATTCATTTTATGCACATTTTTCTTAAATAAAACTGTTTCACTGCTCCCAAATTCAATAAAACTTATTCGCCCAAAACACAATCGATACTTATAAATATACTGAAATATACCCTCTCATTTTCAAAATATACCGTAAATATACCCAGAAAAACTAACTTAACCCGCTTAACTCCCCTCTATTTAAATGGTTGAACACTTTGAGATAAACAGCGGAAAATAATACTGTTTGTGTATACTTCTTGTACCTCCATTCTTCCTCTTTACTCAAAAACAAATATTACCACGATATCTTTCACCTGAAATGAGTAAAAAATATTTCAAGTTTCATAATATTTGTGCCTAAATCTAAATAACCAATGGTCGACAATGGGTTAATTGTTCTCTGTCCATGATCCGAAATCATATTTCTCGATCTCGATATTCGGTTTAATATTACTAGCTAGCTATGACTTTCAACACTGAACATTTAATTCTGTTGATGAATCAATTTTCCACGAGATTGGTTAATTTAAAGGACGGCTTCTTACTGGATTATTCAGAAAATGAGATTTATTTAAGCGAAACCTGTCAAAGCTTATGACGTACGGAATGTGACGTCTTTTCTTCTGTATATATTTCTAGCATAGGTAACTGTAAACTACAATATTTGACTGGAATAAGTTGTTGCAATAAGTCCAGTTTATATTTTATTATTTAAAATACATCGTGCTACTGTCAGGTCTATGGGTGAGTCGATTTCTAACCCATCTTTTTCATCGATTTCAACGATTGAGCACCTAAAAAAATAATTATACAGTGGAATTACACTTGGTTAATACATCTTGATCGTGCTTAATATTTATAGAGATCTATCACCTGTTATTTTGTAGCACTCCACCCTCTACTAATCGTCGCTTGGAAAAATAAAACATTCCTGTTTCAACTATATCTCCTTTCCAATCTTGGCGTCTTGGCCTGGACTCTGAATTAAAGCCCACGGGTACCAGCAGATTATCAACGAGTTCCCATCTTAAATAATGCGACCTAGCAAATCAATAATCGTGAAAATAAGCCGGTGAAATATTTCTAATAGCAACCTTACCTTTTGGCTGCGAATACACAGTCTTGGGTTTTGAATGCCAAAGCAGCTTCTTTAATATATGTTTCTTTCAGAAACACAGAAGTACATTGAAATAAAGAAAAATTATGAATAGCTTTGTGTGCATTCAAAAATTCTTTGATAGTATCCAGAGAAGATGTGTCGTCCCTGGCAAACTCTGAAGGACGATTATGCACAATAGCACCATCTGCAAAGAAAATAAAACTTAATTACTAAACAAACTGGAATGAATGAAAGTGCTCAAGTTTTACTCACATTTTTCGGCTTCAATAGCAATTCTTTTGTCATCGGTAGAGACCCAAATATGATCAAAGCAAGAAGAATTTTGTATTGTTCGGATTGTACGCGCCAGCAATGATAGTCCTGCTATTTCAACGAGGTTTTTGTATTTAATCCCCTTACTTCCACCTCTAGCTAGAATTAACGCATGTAATTCGCTTTTTGAACTGCAATAAAACCCATAAACTTGTGTAATTAAGACTCTGGTATGCATTTGCGCCTTCTTAAGTACCGGGTCTGGAGCACCTTTCAGTAACTGGAAGCGCCAGTACCGAATGTGGCATATCGACTGGAGCGACCTTTCATTTTCCACTTAAATAAGAATATTTTATACATACAAATAACATACCACGTCTGAACACATTCTATTTGAAACAGAAGATGTGGTAAAATTAGTAAAAGCCCAAGTAGAACTCGAATCATAGTGTACTAAACACAAACTCTAAGATATGAACATTTATTTTAATCCACTTTAAGTCCCCTAATTTGGTTCTTAATCAATTTAATTAACTTAGGGTGACACTATAATTTCAAAAGATCCGGCCCGGAACAACATAAATCTCGAAACATATCGGAACGTGTGGAAATGAAATTAAATAGTCGGTCACTTTATATCCATCATTTATTTTTTTTATTTATTTATAAAATAGCAAAAGAGAAGCAAGCAGTTCATGGAATACACCGGGATATGGCGGCATATACCAAACGGGATCGACATAGACATAGAGGAATCTTATCTAGGTCAAAAGCATGTCAATACGAAAAAAAGTCCTTATATTTATACCTTAGTTTCAAAGCAACTTGGATAAGAGAAATTTAACATTATTGAAAGGAAATTGGGTAGACAATGTGCCACTTGTATATATTTTACATATTCGTTTCTTTAAACTTTCTGCCAGTTCGAATACTCCACAAATAAGTCGTTGGTGTATAACAAGCGTGTAGTTACTATGTAAAAATGTCACATTTATGTTGACTTTCTTTGCTTAAACCTTTTTATATAGGAAATCCAATAAATTTTTTATAATTCTCCAGATTGTAGAAAATTAATTGGTCTATTGGATAAAACTATGTATTTAGCGCTGAGGGTCATATTTATAATGTAATATTATAATGTAATGTGCGGTCAGGTGAATAATTTCTTGTTGGCTGAAAGAAGGTAAGAAATATAATTTTAATTGCCAGGCAACTAAGTCGGTCGTTTAATTTGTTTGTGTTTCGTCCAGATTAGCCACAGCCAACGGTTCAGGCTCAGCCTCAGTCGTGACTTCCATGACTTCCGTGACTGTGTGGATACTTAGATTGTGTTCCTATTAAGGGACAGGCGGGATTAGTTTGGGTTGCCCCAATGGCCAAACGGCCAATCCTACCTGGCTGCACCTTCTTTCCCCTCACCCCGCATGGATTCTTATCAATGATTTGGCAACAAACAAAACACGCCACCGAAAATCCGACAATTTGTTTCTCTCTCCCAGATAAGTGTGTGTGTGTTTGTGTCTTGGATAAATGGCGGCATATCGTTGGCTGATATTCTGATTATGGGTATATACTATATAGCCATAGTATATATTTTGGACTTTGAACGGCGGCCCCTCGTTAAAAATGTATAAGCTTCACCCCCTGCCCCGAGAGGCTATTTAGCCAGACAAATTGCTATTCTAATTGTTTTCCCGCTCCGCAGGTGGACTCTGAGGAGGAGAAAATTCCCGAGGAGAAGTTCGTCGAGGAGCTGGCCAAGAATCTGCCCCAGGGCACGGACAAGACACCAGAGCTATTGGATTCGGCACTCAAGGATTTACCCGATCGGTATGTGAAATGATTTCCAAAAATACATTTGCCCCACAGCTGGTTGCAGGCGGTGGCAAATATTTTATAATTGCAAATAATAATTAATTTTTATCCATTTGGCAGCTGAAAGAACTGGGTCATCCGCGGCATATTCACATGGATTATGATTTGTGGCTTCGCATTGATCATCTACGGCGGTCTGCTGGCCTTAATGATCACGGAGGGTTCAATGGCCTTTGCCGTGAAAGAGAGAGTCTAACTAAATTATTTGGTTTCTTTTGTTCAGACATTGCTGGTGCAGGTGAAGTGCTTTCAGGAGATAATCTCGATTGGTTACCAAGTCTATCGCATACACGGACTTCCCTGGTTCCGCAGTCTCTCCTGGTACTTTCTGCTCACATCCAATTACTTCTTCTATGGCGAGAATCTGGTTGATTACTTCGGCGTGGTCATCAATCGTGTGGTAAGAGGTGGCCTGCTATATATAGCCAGAAATACAGAAACTGCTAATCCAAATGGGGGAAATTCTAAATTCTTTTCAGGAATATCTCAAGTTTCTGGTAACCTACCATCGATTCCTCTCGTTCGCCCTGTACATCATTGGCTTTGTTTGGTTTGTGCTGCCGCTGGTGAAGAAATATTACATCAAATAGTTTAGCCTGTTTGCCTGGACACACGTCTCGCTGCTGATTGTCGTCACCCAGAGCTACCTCATTTGGTTCATTGTGCCCGTATCGATGATTGTCTGCAATGATGTCATGGCGTATGTGTTTGGTTTCTTCTTTGGCCGCACACCCCTCATCAAGCTGAGCCCCAAGAAGACCTGGGAGGGCTTCATTGGTGGTGGTTTTGCCACCGTTCTCTTTGGCATTCTATTCTCCTATTTTCTGTGCAACTACCAGTACTTCATATGTCCCATACAATACTCTGAGGAGCTGGGTCGCATGACAATGAGCTGTGTGCCCAGCTATCTGTTCACGCCGCAGGAATACAGCCTGAAGGTGGTACGTATTTAAAAACCTCATCCTGATTAATGTACTTCTCTTTGGTTTCCAGTTTGGCATTGGCAAGTCCTTGAACGTGTATCCCTATATCTGGCACTCGATTTCTCTCAGCTTGTTCAGCTCCATCATTGGACCATTTGGCGGTTTCTTTGCTTCCGGTTTTAAGAGAGCTTTCAAGATCAAGGTGAGTGTAGAACACGAAAGTTTGAGCGTTGCAAGACATGAACTGAGGATAAATTATTTGTTGCAGGACTTTGGTGACATGATTCCCGGACATGGCGGCATCATGGACCGCTTCGACTGCCAGTTCCTGATGGCCACCTTTGTCAACGTTTATATATCGAGCTTCATCAGAACCCCATCGCCGGCGAAGCTCCTGACACAGATCTACAATCTAAAGCCAGATCAGCAATACCAAATCTTTCAATCGCTCAAGGATTCCCTGGGCGAACTAAACCTAACCTAAACAAACACACAAAAACTAAAACAAAAACCGGGCATTGCGGTTACCCATTACCCATTAGATTCAACAGACAACAAAAAAGTGTTTGCTTTAGTCGTACATTCTCTATGTGTAAATTAAATATTGATATACATATATATACGCTACTGGTATATATCTGTAAGCATATGGCAGCACTTTAAGCCGCCACATAAACTAGTTTTAATTAAGAGCATAATTATTGTTATGTTTTTAGTGCTTACGTTAGATTTTGTTGCTACATTTTAAATGATTTTTCCCATACCCCAACAACCCACCCTACCTAAGTTATATTCTGATTTGGAATTAAGTTCTGTGGTGCTGCTGCTACTGCTCCCCTTCTATTAAGCGATTCCATTAATTTTAAAGCTTATGCAGAACAGCAGATCGAATGCAAGACGAAGGATAGCAGAACTATGAATTTAACAATCGATTGTGCGTGTCGTGTGCATGTGTTGTTAGTGAATTTACTTACTATTACTACTACTACTACTATCTATGACTTAGAGATTTACAAGGATACGGAGGCGAGAGGCTAGAGAGGCACCACTTACATAGCATTTTTGAGCCCTTACATAATACATCCACCTGTAACCAAAGAATTCTTAATGTAATGCCTATCATTTATATAGTGCAATATACTCTACTCTGTCGTACGAGAACCCTAGGGCGTACAACAATTTTGGTAACTGAATTCCAGTCATTTTTATTTAACATTTCTTATGTTCCTATAATTCATTCACTTTTTCACACAAAAAGAACCATATATAATATATATGTATAGAGAAAGTTTCATATAAAAATCCTGTTATATACGAAGGAAATGCGGATAAGGCAGGTCGGAAAATGTTTTTAAGCAAATTATGTGTACAAAGAAATCGAAACTTTCAGTTTCATATATAAATCCTGTTATATACGAAGGAAATGCGGATAAGGCAGGTCGAAAAATGTTTTTAAGCAAATTATGTGTACAAAGAAATCGAAACTTTCAGTTTCATATATAAATCCTGTTATATACGAAGGAAATGCGGATAAGGCAGGTCGGAAAATGTTTTTAAGCAAATTATGTGTACAAAGAAATCGAAACTTTCAGTCCTTTATTAATGTTACAAAAGAACAAAAAAATGAGAATATGATTGTATGTAAATCCAACTAAATCTTGCGTGTTCATTAAATTCTATATATTTGGGGAAGACCCGTTTCATGGGCTTTGCCCTCAGGCACTGTAACGCATTGTTCCTACATCCTATGCCCCGTTCACTTAGGGCTTCACCAGCAGTTTGCTTATCAAGGACTCCCTCAGATTGGCAACATCCTCACGCTTCAAGTCAAAGTAAATTCCCCTCTTGCGGGCATCGTCCAGCAGGTCGCCCCACATGCCTACGTTCTGGAAGATGATAAATTCTCCATTAGATTACGGTATTACAGAATCGTAATGCTTGGCAGGAAACTCACCTGAAGATCATTGAAATTGCCGCAGATGATTAGGCAGCGCCTGGGCCTGGTAACGGCCACATTGAGTCTCTGGTAGTTGGCCAGGAATCCGCTACTGCGTGTTCTGGCATTCGAAATGACGACCACGTCGCTCTCCATGCCCTGATAGGCATCCACAGTGAGCGGTGGTGACAGCCTCATGTGGGTGGGCAGCATTTGGCTCAGCGCATAGCATTGGCTGCTGTACGGCGAGATCAGCCCATAGCCGTAGCGTTTGCTCGGCAAATGCTTGTCCATCTCCGTCAGCAGCTTGGTCACAAAGCGAGCCTCCTCCTCGTTGCTAATGCTCCGAGTTTTCGGATCACTGGTGTCCCTGGTGAAGCCAAGGTTTATAACAGCGTAGGGAAGTATGGGTGTTGCGAGTAACCTCTCGAGGCCCTCTTGATTGACCAGCTGATCCTCGTAGAAGTAGCGATTTGGCCACTTGCAGATCTCCGGATGCATGCGGTACTGCGTGGTCAGCTTGAACAGTTTGGTGTGAACGGACAAATGGGCATGCGGCTGGTCCGCCTGCTGCTTCTCCAGGCTCCGCTGAATGCGATCGAACATTGACTTGGCCAAGCCGAAATCGACAGCCTTCTGGGGGAGCACGATGGCAGGCAACTGCTGCGTATCGCCCACCAATACCAGATGCGGAATGCCGAAACGCATCGGCAGCAGGGTCCACGGCTCGGTGCACTGTGTGGCCTCGTCAATTAAACAGATATCAAAGTAGTTAATATTGTAGTATGCACACATAGCCAATACCCACTGTACCAAGTGTACTTAAGGGGAACACACTGTAACACTTTGTTGCAGTGTTTATGTAATTAAAAGTCCCAGACATAACTTGAGCTATCGTATTACGATCGCCCAAGAATGTCTCGAGCGACATAAGTGCAGCGTCAACATATTCCCATGACTTGACGGCACATGCATACACACATACATATACATTTTCCCTCGCGCCCTCGCTGTCAGCAGCGCTGGGCATATACACATATATATATACATTAAATACATAAATGCTGCCGCTCCGCTGCCGGCGTTCCTGGCAGCGCAGCTACGCTGGCTTTAGCCAAGTAAATTCTAAGATATATTTCATAAAGACATTCAAAATAAAGAAACGACAGAGAACGGATGTTCTCTTCAAAAGAAGAACTATCAATGAAAGACCTTTTTACTACATGGCGACCGTGACAGCTATGGACTCGGTCCATAGTTGGTGATAACAAACAAGTCTAAGTTGGAATAAAATATAACATTTAAAAAAAAAAAAGGAAATAAATTAAATTGCCTCTAATAAATTACTGGATTTTCAAAAAAAAAAAAATAAACAAAAATCCAACCGAAGCTAATCATGTGTTCTTAAAAAAAAAAAAAAAAAAAAAACAAGAAGCGTGCTGACATAAAAGAAGATAAAGACCTGAAAAGGCACCGACAGCGCTACATAGAGCGTACGACGAATACCTGTGCGATGACCAGCACCGGAACCGCCTGAGCCCAGAGGCCCAGGACATCAGCAGCCGAAAAATAAATACGCGTGAGAGGCCTAACGCCCCTTACGCCACCGGTGGATGCCAATCTGGAATCAGATTTAATAAACGCTGCTCCCATCGAGCAAAGGGACAAGCCAAGCCTACAGGAGGCTCTGGAGGCTTGTCCAACCGATGGACCACGCCCACTCACAATAGCTGAGTACCGGGCACGCCAACAGCCGCAACAGCCCAAGCCAAAGAAGAAGCGGGGAGGGAAGCGAATTAAACTGCTCCGGGAACGTAGGTTGGTCAAAGACCTACTACGGACAGAAAAAATCAACGAGGACCAGGAAAAATTGAAAACCCAACTGGAGGAACTCAACAACAAACTTTGCGATGCAAAGTAACGCAATAAAGGCTGCATTTTGCCAATGCCTGAATTGCCAATAATTTAAACTTCTACCCACAAGTCGATGCGTAACACGCTGCTTGTAAACTACTAATATCTGTTAGGCTTTCACTAAAAACATAGGACTGATAAAAAAAAAAAAACCAATGTAAATCAGCCCTATGCCCTAACACTCTATCTTCATATTTTCAAAAATTAGTTTTTTTTTTCAAAAATTTTACATTTTTTTTGGAATTAGATTTGAAATTTGATTTGATATTGAATATAAAAAAAAAAAAAAAAAAAAACAATAAAAAAAAAAAATATATTTAAAGCATCTCAAAAACTAATATGAATGAAAGACAATACTATAAGTAAGTTAGGAAATGACACCAAAAATAAGCCATATATAAATGGCATACTTTTTCATAGAGAAACAGGGATTGTCACCAACATGGGTTTAGTAGACACCAAGACAGTGGATTCCACTGCAAATGTAATTAATAAAGTAGAATCAAAAGAAATTGATTTAGGCTTTACTAATACCCTGTTGATAATAATTGTTGTTATTTTGTGTGCTAACGTCTTTTTCAAAATTTATAAACTGCACAATAAATGCCTTAAAAAGAAATATTTGAGTAAGGCTAATGATTTGGACAAAATATAGAATTTGAAAAGGAAAAATAAAATGACAACTCTAAACGCAATTAGGAATGTTTATAACAGGGACCCAAATTTTAAAAACAGAATTCTACAATTGGTCTCAACGACCCCAAGGAGCATATTAGAGCTCGAATATATGTACATGAGTACATTTCATTTAGAATTTTCGCCGTTAATAGACTGTTCAAAAACACAAAAAGCAATTGTGTTAACTACCATTCCAGGTATCGCGGTAAAATCAGTAATAAAAGAGCATTCCATTCTAGGCAGGGTCATCGACTTCGTAATATTTAAATCTTAAAATCGGGAATTTTGGTTAATGATGTCAGATTGTCTTCCATTTGGAATGAACAACATAGAAACACCACATGGCCTGGCTTACGATCTGCGCTAAAGTCTGTACTCTTAGAGCAGAGTTCGATAAGTCCTATAAATGCTTAACGCAAAACAGACCTACTCAAAATAGTACGGTCATTAAACATGTAACCAACCTAGTTGAAATCTATAATGAGATCAGAGAGCTTTTTCTAACAAATAAACAAAGACTTGACGATATACAGTGGTTCCAAGCAACAGACGTTTTCAAACGTCTAAGAGAACGATTGGTTACCGTTAAAGAAAAGCTCAATTTGGACATACATATACCAACAATTCTCAACACAGCAGCGACATATATACCAGCTGCAGAATCGGGATCAAGGCCAATAAGCCCCAGGCCCCCGAATATCAAAAATATTAGCATAATATCGGAAGACGATTCTCGATCAAATCGATCGAACCTTCCAATAAACGACGACACTTCGTCAACTAGTGCAGCACCTAGCAACCAACATATCAGAATGGCAGAAGACCCAGTTGCCCAACGGGCATATATTAAAGACATTTCACACGCTATCCCTGAATTCAATGGACAAAAGATCCATATGCAGAGATTCATTACTGCCATTAACTTAGTCAATTTGACAAAAGGGCCTTATGAATCTCTAGCTGTCGAAGTGATAAAATCCAAAATAATCGGATCTACACTATACAAAGTCCAGGATGAAACGACCATCCAGTCGATCATTCAAAAATTGAAAACTACAATTGTCGGTGAAACATCTGACGTAGTTAAGGCAAAAATGGCAAAAATATGCCAAAAAGGCAAAACAGCCACAGAATTTACAAAAGAAATAGACGAGATGAGAAAACTCCTAGAAGCATCATACATCGATGAGGGTCTGCCAGCTGAGCACGCTGATAAATTCAGCAGCAAAGAAGCCATTAGCACAATGGTTAAAAATTGTGAGCATGGCAGACTTAAGACCATTCTAGAAGCAGGCACATTCCCTACAATGAATGATGCCATAACAAAATATATCCAATGTTCCACTGACATGACTGGTAATGCAAATTCCATATTGTATACCAGACGAGGTCAGGCATACCGCGGTAGTACCTATAGAGGTAACTATCGTGGTAGAGGAAATGGCCGTGGTTATAACAACATCAACAGTTATAACAATAATCAGCATTCAAATAACTATAGAGGTCGTGGTGGTTATAGAGGAAATAACCGTGGAAACGGAAACACCTATAACAACCAATACGACAATAATAGAGGTACACGACAAAACAATGTCCGTGTTACCCAGACGGCTTCGGGAAACTCCCAAACTCCTTTAGATACTCCAAACCATTAAAAGCAAAAGTTCAAACCATCAATCTCAATCTTAACATTTTCGTGTCATTTAACAATGCCAATACAGGAAAACATCTAACATTCCTAGTAGATACAGGAGCGAACATATCGCTAGTAAAAGAAACTTCAGATGTCTTCAACGACATACAAATAAACAATAAAATAGACATTCAAGGTATAGGTGAAGGTATTATAAAATCCCTAGGCCTTGCACCAATAGAGCTACAGACAGATAAATACATAATTCCACACAATTTCCATTTAGTAAACAAAAATTTCGCAATCCCATGTGATGGAATAATAGGGATTGATTTTATAAAAGCATTAAATTGTCAAATTGATCTAAAACCTTCAGAAGACTGGTTTATAATACGACCAAACAATATAAACATTCACATTTATGTTCCAATAACATACAGTTCTGGTAACAATACAATACTTCTACCAGCAAGATCACAAGTTATTCGAAAAATAGAACTAACTTCAAATGAAGATAATGTTCTAATTCCAAACCAAGAAATCCAAACTGGTATTTTTGTTGCAAACACAGTTGCAACCACGCAAAATGCGTTTGTCCGATTACTGAATACGACCAGTACCGACCAATTAATTAATATAAATAATTTAAAATATGAACCACTTTCGAATTACAATGTAGTTCAAACAACTTCTAAAATCAGGGAACAAACTGTCCTAGCTCAGCTCAAAAAGAATTTTCCAGCTCCATTCAAACAACCATTAACGGAATTATGTTCCAAATATAGTGACATATTCGGGCTTGACACCGAATCAATAACAACAAATAATTTTTATAAACAAAAATTGAGATTGAAGGATGACGAACCAGTATACATCAAAAACTATCGAAGCCCGCATAGCCAAGTTACAGAGATCCAGAAGCAAGTAGGAAAATTAATAGACGACAAAATAGTCGAACCGTCCGTATCAGAATATAACAGCCCACTATTACTTGTACCAAAGAAAGCCCTTCCGGGCACTGAACAAAAGAAATGGCGATTAGTAGTTGACTATCGTCAAATAAATAAGAAGCTCTTGTCAGATAAATTCCCACTACCTAGAATTGATGACATTTTGGATCAACTAGGTAGAGCAAAATATTTCTCATGCCTTGACTTAATGTCAGGTTTTCATCAAATTGAACTAGAAGAAAGTTCACGTAATATAACGTCTTTTTCAACGAGCAATGGCTCATATCGCTTCACGCGATTACCATTTGGTTTAAAAATAGCGCCAAATTCATTTCAGAGAATGATGACTATTGCATTCTCTGGACTTGAAGCTTCGCAAGCATTCCTATATATGGACGATCTTATAGTCATTGGTTGTTCCGAAAAACATATGCTCAAAAACTTACAAGATATTTTTGAGGTATGTAGGAAACACAACCTAAAATTACATCCACAAAAATGTTCATTTTTCATGCATGAAGTGACCTTTCTCGGTCATAAATGCACTGATAAAGGAATCTTGCCAGATGACAAGAAATATGACGTCATCAAAAATTATCCAGTCCCGCACGACGCGGACA